ATTAAAAACCAAGGCTTGCAGACAGGGATTAGAGGCTTTTGTTCCCGGTTTTAGAAAATACAGAAAAGGAATTATAAAGGAAGGAATGCTGAAGAAATGAAGAGTGAAGAATGTGTGAGTGAGGAATGGAGTTTTTAAGAAAAATGTTTGTAATGATGTGTCTGAATATGTATCAGTTATTACTGAATAAATGAAAGAAAATGAATTGCCACGTTTAGTTACGTATTCTATCACCTACGGTGACTGTCAATTGGCTTCTTAAATACTGCTTATGAAATCATCAAATTCCCTTGTTACAGTATCATGGATCTGGTATACTGCAACTGTTCTTTTTTTCTGTGTAAGAAAACTCTGCGAGTTACGGAAATTGTATAAACCCAATACTTTCATGACGATATACAGCAATCAACACTACAATAATCATTTGAAAGGTTAGAAGGAACAGAGGAAGTTAAAAAAATAATACCATCATTTGGAAAATCGTTAAAAAATATTTTTTGAGTTTTACAAATCCTTCGTTGTCACTTGACTTAATGAGATTCCATCAATGTGAGGTGTTAAGTGCGAAGGTCACTTAAGAGAATAGTACAGGTCTCATATATGTTGAAATACAAGATTTTTCGTAAATTGCGAACCAAACCAGAAACCCGCCTTGACACCAGCTACTTAATTCCTTGACTTCATGGAGTTTGATCAATGATCATTGTAAACTTTACTATTCACTTGATTACTGTAAGCATTTCTATTAAACGATATTACTCCCGTTTCTCTTGTTTCTTTCTTTTACAATAATCAGTGAACGTTAATGAGGTTTCAAGATTTATATTTCTGAGATTGCCTTCGTATATACTACGAGTTCATTATCATCATCATCATTATCATCATCATCGTTCAAAGGGGCTGCATCTCCCCTTTCTTCACGTTCGTACACCGACCTCATCTTCTTCGTTGTAGCTGATTCCCCCTCTGCCCCACTCTCTGTGCACGTACAGGCAGTGCTGCTACCAAGTCTGATAGCGGAGTACACACTTACCGCGGTAAAAGATTTCCCGTGTAAAAGCGCCGTAGAGCATGACGCCACCCTCACGCGCGGCGCCTCAAACGGGGCACATCGCCGCCCGGGAACCTTCACATACTTTCAAAGAAAATACTTGGTTGTTTATTAGCAAAGACCGGCTTATGAGGCTCGAGGCATCTATTGACGTCAATGCGATGAGGTCTCAGACTTCGAGTCCCGGCAGTGACAGCATTTTCGACACAAGCTCATCACGGGATTTTATTGCAAAAAAACTAAAACGAATTCACAAATTGCTACAATAATAATTTATAATTTACAAGTTTCCAAATTATCATTTACATCAATGGCTTCCGACTGTGAGTTATATTTGCTTAAATTTCTAGATAAGGAAACGTCTGCACACATTAGTGTCTTGTTCATATGCATAGAGACATTAATATCTGCCTCTGTGTCAAATTCAGAGAATTTTTGTTACTACTAACAAATTAAAAACTCAAGGAAACATTAATAAAATAATGAGAAAAAACGAATCTCATATCAAAGATCCTTATTTACTGTTCTACCGTGACTAACATTGCCATAGTTTACACCAAGATATATTAAATCGTAATCAAAAAAAGTTATGTACTTTCACGAATTTTGGGGATTTATCGAATATTTTGGAATCCTGAAATTGCTACAATGAGTTTTCTCTTGCGATATAGTAATTATCAAATAAAGAAACTTCTTTCCCATGAACAGCAATATAAATGAATGAAGAATGGCAACACAAATACAAAGATGTATGCTTCCCCGCGTCTTAAACATAATAAAATTACATGTGATTGCTACATAAGTTCTACACACAGTGTATTGGCACATATCGTGGCCAAATGATTCGGTTTATGAACGAATAGGTCAAATTTGGATTTTACCTCCTGCCGGTCATCCACGAACGAGGGTGGAAATCGCCCGCCCTTTGGTGACACGCAGCCCTTCGAACGCTCGCGCGATTTAATGCCACATGCGCGAACGCCGACCATTCTTTGCTTTTCCCAATACTATAGTTTCTCTTAATCATCGGTCATCAAGAATTTATTTACGAGCATTAACTGAGCGTTGTAGCATATTAAAAATGCATTGAAACAAATGTAATTATTCAGCAGAAAATAAATTTCTGGAGGTAATCTGAAAAAATAGTTTTCTATTTTCAGTCCACAAAACACTGATGACAAATACATACAATGTAATAAAGATTTAATAAAAATGAATATTAAAATCTAATGAAGTAGAAAGGTAAAGAGCTAATACGTAAGATGCAAATCGTAAATATAGTTTAGTGTACGTAAGTGTAAGAAAGGGGTAAGGATACAACAGGGAAGAGGAAAGAACCGCGCGCAGTCCTTGGCTCGTTTGTAAATAAGCGAGTGCTAACGGAATAAGGAGCGTATCACTATAAGTAGGTTTACAGTTGGGAAGACAATGTTAAGTAGGTTTTACTGAGAGAAAGAATAAGATAGGGGGAGAGGAATTGTGAAGGTGACCCGGAGACATGAGAACATGTAATCGAGAGGTGATGGAGAAATTAGAGAACGTTTAATTAATTAACTGCGAATGGAGAGGGTATAGAGAGATAGATGGATAATATCTGACGATAGACGTGGAATGAGAGAAATTATGAGAATAAAGAAACTAAGAAGGCAACAGGTCAATGTAGAAAAAAAGTAGACTTAAGGAAGAAGAAAATCTAGTGTGTATAATAATGAATATGTTAATAGGGAAAGGTTTTTAGGCACAGAAGATGTGAACGGGAAGTTGGGAAAATTAAGGAAAGCTGAAGAAACAAAATGAGAGGAATGTATAACGGTAGGTGGAGTTTTTAATGAGAATATTTTTTTAATTTTATGGGTGAATCTATATTAGCTGTATCTAGAAAAATAAGCTGTGTAAATGAATGATGACGATGATAATGGTATACTTTCCTTAAATATCTGAAATCCAATATCTATTAAGTACTGAAATGCTTCATATTCTCTTCAAATGTGTGTGGGAGGGAAAAGCTGTTTCAATTAACTACCAGCATGTGCGAGAGGAATCCGAGTGGCTTCTCTGCCCTTCCTGTTGGCACTCCTGCTCTGCATAGGAGCTGTGAGTTGACGAGTGTGGGGCTGTGTGGGGAAATAGACGTACGTCCATTATTTTGGTGCAACACATCCAGTTTACATCTGAAAGTGCACGGAGTGAAACGATGTTCGGCGTAAGGAAGTGCAAGAAGAAACGCAACAAATTCTTCTTAATCGGCTCTGCCTTTCCCTAGACTGACGTAAGCAATGTAAGTGTCATACGTATGTCTCTTCAATGCATTGAAGCAAACACAGAAATAGCTAAAAACGCTTGGAAAGTTGGTCCGTCATAAGATTTAAAAATGTTGTAATATTAAGTGAAATAAATATAATCCACTATTCTGAATTTTTGCCAGTATGCAATTTCAAAACAAAAAGAATATTTAAAATCTGTGTTAAGTTAATATTTAAAAATATTTCGTGGTTTAATTTTAAATTCGAAAACAGAGGCTTTATTGTTTGATTGAAACTGTCTTTCAATAAATAATTTTCTTTCTATTAATCGTACGCAAGAAACTGGGTCAGAAATTTATTTTAATTAACTTATGTCAGGAATTAATGTATACATCTGAAAAATATCATTTACGACGTTCGTCAAAATAGAGCCTGAACTTTCAATTTAGTATTGCGTGATTTGTGTAGGATAAGAGAAAATCGGGTAAAGGATAGATTTGTGACGAGTAATATTCTTCAATATTAGCGTAAACTATTACTGGTGTACCAAACAACGCAAGTCTAAATCAAACACATACAGCTGCTCACCTGAGCTTTGTGTGTTGCGTCGTGTACTAATCCATGCGCCGTGGGCAGACGCGAATGTGGGCACTGGCAATGTTGTATTTGGGCAGTGTCGCAATTAGCTGACCAGAGCGCGCCGCGTGGGGCGCCGTGGGGCGGGGCCACGCGGCGCGGCGCTGCGCGGCGCGAGGGAGCGCTGCTCTTGGCCCCGGCGCAGCGGCCTTGATGTCACTTAGCGCCAGTTAGCCGCTCGGGCGAAGAAAGGCGCGGGCGAAGGCGGCGGGGGGAGGGAGGGATCCTGGTGAACGCTTTCCGCCACGCCTTATTTAACTCTCGGTGGCCACTGCCAGGGGCCGCAACAGATAGAAGGCAGGAGGGGGGGGATTGGGATACGGACGGGCTACCTGGTTGGGACGGGGACGGGGTGCCGGGACGGTAGACTTCGATTTATTCATGTCCTAGTCATCAAGCTGTTACAATGTCATCAATTCGGGACTTACACGTCACCACTGTGATGTCACTGTAATGTCGTTCAAAACTCCGATTGGATGACACCGTAAACGGCTGATTTACGTCAAAGAACTCCGGATTTTAAATCGGTGTATAGGTGGCGGATAGAGGCAGCGCAGTCTGTGTGTCGGAGGAGGTAGATGGAGGCAATGATGGGGACGGTAGATGGGGGCCAGGTTGGGCAACAAGGATGTGAGGGCAAACCGGGGTGCAAAGTCGGGCAACAGGGTCAAGGACGTGCAGCAACCGGCGGGGGGGGGGTGGAGGTTATGAGAGGGAAATGGAGAAGAGTAATGAGAGATAGATCGTGGGATTGGCACGGCCCGGATGTAGAAGGCGCGGTATGTGCCGGTAGTGGGGGTGGCAGGTGGCCACTGGGGACAGTCCGTGGAGAGGGCAAGAGCCTAAGGGGGAGGTAGAAGTGACAGTGGACGAGAAGGGGGTGATGAACAGCGATGACCCATAACGACGGAGCAATCGTCCGAGGGCGGGGGCAAAGGTGGGTGTGGTGGTGAAGGCAGGGGCAATAGTGGGAGCGGAGCGTGAATGGGAGTGGCGGCAGGGACGAGATGACGGTGGGGGCGGGGGCGTAGGGGTGGTGAGAAGGAGGGCGAGGTGGGGGGCGAAGGCGAGGCGGGGACGCTTGCGGACGAAAGCCACTGCACCCCGCCACCCGCACTCCTCTACTGCCTTCTTTCTCGATCTCTGTTTCCCAGAAAGGAAACTTGAATTGTGGTGATCGGACTCGTGCATTTTGTTCACGTGAAGCTTCGCAAACGGATACACGTTCGAGACAATGTACTTGACACAATTGTTGCTGTGCCACTTCGCATATTTATTCCTCTCTCTGACCAGTGAGGTGTCTTCAAGTCCACACGAACTCGTATCTTACCGTCATTCTACGTGTTTTGACTGATCTTTATAAAATGGAAAATGGTTGTCGGTGAGTTTGTCCCACGTAAACCGTAAGCTGCTTTTTATTGTTTTTTTGTGAAAAGGACAGGAAGCAGTCTCCCACATATCCTTTAATATCGTAGAAATGATCGTTTATTCTTTCATAACCTAGTATGTTATGAAGTTTTATAGTGACGACAGAAAAATTGTGAAAGAATACCAATAATGTCTTGCCAACTTCTTGCTTTGCATATGGCACAATACAAGAAGAAGAAAAAGAACGACTGGAATTGTGATACTTAAATTCTGTTATTACGAAAGAAAGTTGTACATATTCTTGGTACGCAACATTTGAGTGTCACGAAGCGTCATGAGTGTCACCTTGACTAACAATATGTTACCGCAGGTAACAATATGTTACCGCTGGATCCCTCTAAATAATGCACCGACGAACAGGCCTGAAATTATTGGATTGCGACAGGTGAGCACATGACCTTAAAATTCAAGGTAGAATATATTCCTCATTCGGTTTGATTCGCCTTTAGAACGAGTCACTCGGCGCACAAAACATGTAAATAATACGTAATGAGCTAGAACGCAAGGTGTTGTTTCGTACCTAAGTGAACCGGTGTTCAAATCTCCGTTGATGCATGTTGTGATTGACAATATAGGTTCATATATCTCGAGCAAAACTTCTCCTTTTCTCATTACATCATAATGCTCATACCTTGTCATTGTGTCGATAATAATTGGTGTTTTTAATAACTAGTATTTATTTTTGGAACTTCTGAAAGAATGAAAGTTAGTGGTATTCTTTTCAATGATGAGAGCTAATGCAGGTAGCAAAAGAGTTGAAAGTAAACCATTCCAACACTGAAAATTATGTAAACCCAGATATATATTTGCAAATTACAGAGTCTCTATGTCTATATTCTGCCACCGAGCAACATAAGCCCAATAGTAGAATACATGTTTGTATCTATCTACATATCTATTTATGTTTTGAGCAATGACGTTTTATTAAATGTGTTGAGAATCCTATAAAACTGTTGCTAGTAGCACTCAAGGTTTTGTCTTGATTTATTATTTATTTATACTCGTCATTTTGCCTTGAGATGGGATTTAAATTAGTATTCATTTCAAACCCCTTTATCATTTTCATTTTCTTCTCACATAGATTTACATATTGATTGGGGCTTTAAGAAATAAGTAGCATATTTTTTCAAAGCTATGGCGAAAAACTAAAAAAATCCAAATTTGCTACAATAATAATTTATAATTTACAAGTTTTCAAATTATTTTTTACTTCAATGGCTTCCGCTTGTGATTTGAAATTACTTCAATTTCTAGATAAGTTAACGTATGCACACATTAGTGTCTTGTTCACATGAATCAAGACATTAATATCTGCCTCTCACCACTAGCAAAATCACAAGGTCTCACTAGTAAATGTAAAGATGGTACTCTAATTTTAAATTTTCAAAATTATCATAATGTTAAAATGTAAACTAGAGAATTTTGTGTTAGTTGCTTTGACCGTTCTTTTTCACATTCAAGAGTTTCACTTTCAAGATTGTTAAGGCTGTTCCACACATTCAGCATTCACCGAGTAGGCCACGACTTGTCGCCCATTCCCGAGCAGTTCATGTGATCGACGAAAATTCTTTCTTTGGATGTGTGCAAAAGACCGACATGTGGTGAATAGGACGAGTACCGAATGTTGCACTGGATTCGGTGAGTGGTAGCTCGCTACTCGCCAAATACCAAATGTCTGGAGGCGCCTTTAAACGACGAATCACACACCGCGCGCTATCACATCCTGCCTCACTCCCATCCTGAACCGGGCTCAGGGCATCAACTGATATGGGAGGATTGTGGCAGGATTTTTGACATAGCTAGGTACTAGGTTGTATTCAGTCGCTGTCTGTAGGAGAAGTTTAGCGGCCGGCTGCTCTGGTCAGTAGTTTTCCGTGGTTTCTGCGGTTAACACCAGGCCAATACCAGAACAATACCCCAACAAACGGGCCACGGATCGCGCGCGATCTTTCCTTTCTCTTCCTTGCCCTATCCTCGCCCATTACTAACACTCTTAACTTACATGCACTGCACGGGAGACCGGTATTATTACACATGCCAGGAGACCGGAGATTAGAGCTAGACCCTATTTGCGCGGTACCGTGCTACTGTGCGATACCCCGTTAGCTGACGGTAGGTCGGCGCCGGATCTCACTATCTAGTGGAGGAAGATCACGGCCACCCCTCGAGGAAAACACATGCACTACACTTACGGGACGCACACCCTTTGCAGTTGACGCGCCCGGAATGCCTAATCAATCAATGAATCCATCAAAAATCTCAACCCGAGAGGCCTTCGACACCCCTAGCCCCCTGTGACATCCTTGATCTAGAGCAGAGGTAGCCAACCTGTTGCCGATGTCCAATCGCTTGACCCTGGATGATTAATTTTGGTATATTTCATTTCTGCACAAACTTGTTCTTTTCAAGTACGCACCAAAACTACAAGCTGAAACCTTCCTCATATTTTCAGCACCATAGTGTTCTTACTCTTATTCCTATTTCTCCATCGTAAAAGTCAGAAAGTACAAAAGTGTTAAATTTGTACGGCCCATCTCATCTCGTAGGTGTAAATATTTTACGTTATGTGAAAGTTAGTCACCCTTGATCCAGAAAGACTCTTGCAGTTTAGCACGTGCGCAAGTTAGCGTAAATTTAATGTACCACCATAGAATGAGGTTACATTATTATTCCCTTCTTTATTGGTTGAGTTCATTAGATATAGAGCCAGGCGTTATTATCTATCCATTTACATGGCCTCTTGCAATTCACACTGCGCAGCGATGACCATTTGCAGCTCCCAAGGAACGTGCAAACGCAATTGACCAAATGTTATTTTTCAGATATGGCTGATCTGGCAGTGTACGTCCGCCGAGCTGTCAAGTACTATGGTCGCGGCTCAAGGAAAGTCACCATTTTGAGACATCTCAACATGAGTGTACCCAAAGGAACGATGTGAGTATTTTCATTGCATCTGGGGGATAAATAATAGCCTATCAAATAGAACGGTTAAAGTTGTTTGATAATTAGAAAAAGGTTCTGTGGGAGAGTTCAATTAAGTTGTGTAATACAATTTGAACGTTCTGTATTTGAAAGATTACACACTATTATCTTTATGGCAATCAAACTATGCTCTCATAAACTCTTATTTATTACTCTTCCTCACTTCCTTCAGTGAACCATTATTATTGTAGTCTCTATGAAACGCAGATTTCACTTCTAAGAGAAATTTCATAATTATTGCTCTCTCCTGATAAAACAATAGGCAAGATTGAATTCAAATGTAAATTATCCTATCAAAATTAAATTCTCTAGCTGATGAAACATATAAACATTACTCATGATTATGCAAATAGGTTAAACCGCAAATAAGAGAAAACATTGCTTATGATCTTCAAAACACGTTATTTAGTAAACTAAATGCAAGAAAAATACACCCATTTTAGAAAATACTTCTGAGATCGCAAGAACAGAACATTCTCATGAAGTCAGAAACGGTCATTTGCAAATACCTATCAGTGGCTTGGCGCCAGAAGGGCCAATTTCAATGTTGAAAGTTTTACAAAATGGTTTATTTTCGTACACCATCCTAATGATAAAACCATAGCTGGGCAATGCAAATTATTGTGAAACTATGATAGAGGATCGACTTTTGACTTTGCCCTTTCTTGCTCTGAGTTGAAACGGAGTGGAAAAGCATTTTCCACACTACTACTTAGCTATTTCGAATTTGGTCGGTGCCCGGAGGAGAATTTTAACGACCGGCTTCTCTGGACGGTACTCTTCCGTGGATTCTCCGATCAATACCAGATGACTGCCCGAGCAGTACCCTAACAAATGGGCCACGGACAGCGTGCGATCTTTCCTTCCTCTTCCACGACCTACACTCATCGCTTTCGCACACTTACTTGCGTGCACTGGTAGTGTTACCACACATGCCGGGAGACTGGTCGGAAGCTTAGAGTTTGTCTCGGTTTTGGGGGCACCGCTGGTGAGAGACGACTGGTTGTGGGAAACTCCGCGACGGTAGTACGGCGCTCGATCTCACACCCTGGAGGGAAGATCCCGCTATACTAGAGGAAAACACATGCATTACACTTACAGAACTAATAACCCTAGAAGTAGATGCTCCCTAGAAGGTGATGACACTATAAGTTGAATCACTAGTCACTTTTATTTCTTGATTAGACTCAGACCGTAATGCCTGCTCTTCTGTCCTCCTATAATTGAATTGTTTTGATTTTTTAATTACTAAATAATCCCACACTCTTTAAATAGTTCCCCTTGATTATTTCAATAAATTAAAGTGCGCAATGGCAAATTCTCATTTATTTCACTCCATTTAAAGTTTAATTTTAAGTCAGGGTCCCAACGATCCTGTTGCACCAAATACGTAGTAAAATTAAGGCGCTCCAATTAAAGGTTAATAAATATTGATTATAAGAAATTGTCGTTTTAGATACTTCATTGAGCATGTTAAATTCAATATTTTTAACATTATATTTCTATCTCTTTGTATATGAATTAGGGTTTATTTTTATTGAACAAGAGAGTTTGGTGAACTTAACTGTTAAAAACTGACAACAGAATTATTCGTACGGAGCCTCGTCTATGAGAGTGGCTTACGTCAAGGAGAAGATGGAAGTGGTACCAATTGAAACTCTTGACGCCTTTGTTGAAGTGGACTTTCATTTAATTCCTCCCAGCTGCGTCCGCAATGAAACGACGAAATACATAGTGGGATGGACCTCCAAAATAGCAGCGTTTTTGCAGAAATTGTGGATAGTAGACGGAGGGCCGGTCAAGCAAATCTAGATGCCACCTGAAATTATGTAACGAAAGTACTCCAAAATAACATACAAATAAAATAACACACAAAGGAATTTGAGGACGAAAAACCTACATTGCTTAAATAAAACGGAGAGAATTGGTTGCTCATGGTTTTGATTGATTAATTGTTAGTGATTTTGGGCGCGTCAACAAAGATCGTTAGTCCCGTAAGTTTTTTCATGTGAATTGAGTCAAAACGTTGTACTGTGTACGTTGTACTGAGTACGTTGCACTGCGCGCACTCAATATCCTGAGGCAATAATATGGAAGCAAGGCATGTCTATCCTAAGGCAGATATTCATAAACATCAGACTTCGTGTATTTGAACTGATATACAATACTACAACACTGTATAAACTTTCCTATTTTAAAACGATGGTTATTTTCAATTTTCTGCATAGAAAAGGCTTCTTCGTGGATAACAGAAACATCGTCTAACAGTTTCGAAATAATTTTGCTCCTCTCTGTTTATTTATAAAGTTTATATTTTATAACTATTAATGATCCTAAATATATCAATCGCGTAACTTACGCCCGTCCGTCCTTCACTCTCTCTTCCTGCCCATCAATGGGGTCAAACGGAGGTTTGTTCGACAGTCTCGGTCTCCTGGTGGGAAACTGACAGTTTCCAGGATAAATTCGAATAGATCCAAAATATTTTGTCAAAAAACATGTATTTTGGGGAAATTTTAAGCAATTATATCGTATTTTGGGGGACTTTAGGCACTTTCAGAGGTGATCAATGCTTCTATTGATCCCTTTAAAATATTCTGGAAGAATTCTGAAAGAATAAGTGTTTTTATGATTTCAATAAACCTACATTTGACCAATACTATGAATTACTTTACTACCTTTCAGGCAACATTGTAAATGTAGCTTCACAATGCGCACGTTCTTTTGAACTCTCCTGCTTGTAGTGGTAGGAAGTAAGGGCGAGTTACTATTTTATTCGTTTTATTTTTATTAGTTCGTTTACCGTTGCAAAAACGTTTTCTATAACTTGGGAACGAAAATGTCTAGTGTTTCAAATGTCGCCAATCTCGCACGTTTTTTAAATTTAATTTTTATTGATTTAAAATTAACATTTACTCATCTTTGAACTATTTATAGTTAAAATGATGAGAAGGGATTCCGGAACTCAAGAAAACGTGCGCAGATTATCTTAATTTTTAGAAAATGATTCATTCGGCAGGTGATAATTGAATCTGATTTTGTAATGAAACAAAAATTAAAAAATAAATACTTTTTTACTTAACATTCTATCCCCTGAAATGGGGTAGCTAGTGTTAAATTTTACACACTTTTAGCACAACTTGCATAGCGCAAGTAAACATGTTTAAAGTGCCCCCCCCCCCGTGAGTGGCCCTGCTTAGACCCGTTCCACTGCTGCAGCTACGGGCTGCTGGGCGCGAGCGGCTGCGGCAAGACGACGCTGCTGAGCTGCCTGGTGGGGCGGCGGCGCCTGGACGAGGGCGAGGTGTGCGTGCTGGGGACGGCGCCCGGCTCCCCACGCAGCTGCGTGCCCGGCCCGCGCGTCGGCTTCATGCCGCAGGTGAGCCCCACCTTCTCCGCCTCATGCGCCTGCAAAACCCGCATTCTTCTTCTTCTCCTTCTTCTTCTTCCTGCGTCTTCTTCTTCTCCTCCTCCAGCCTCTTCTCCTATTCCACCCCTGTCCCCTTCTTTATCTTCATCTCAGTCTTCTTTTAATTTTTGTCGATATTCGTCTTCTTCTTCTTTACCTTCATCCTGTCTTTTCTCCTGTCTTTTTCTTCTTCTTCTTCTTCTTCTTCTTCTTCTTCGAAACCTGCTTTTTTCCTCCTTTATTCTCTTCTTCAATTTCACCCCTGTCTTTTTATTTATTTGTATCTCTGTCTTCTCTTTTTTCGTCCATATTCTTCTTATTTACCTTCATTCCGTCTTCTTTTTTTCTTCCTCAGTCTTTTCCCTCTTGCTAAATTTCTTTCTATCATTCTTCTTTTCCATCTCGTTCTCTAATTATCTTCTTCTCCATCTTATCTCCTCCTATACTTGCGCCTTCTTCTCTTTTGCCATTCCGTTTTTTTATGTTTTCCTCTTTCTCCTCTTAGTACATTTTTATTTCGATTTCTCGGTCTTCATCATCCCCTTGGTTTTCTCTTTCATATTCTGCTTCTTCTCTTTCCGCTTATTACCGATCTTCGCTTTCTTTCTTTCTCTTCAAAGGTATGATTACAATATGAATGTGATTGACAGACACACAATCATATCTGTAAAATCATCAACTCGCGGTCAATTGATCGCTGTAATTAGAGTGTACATGTCATACTCCAGCAGACAATTCAACCACATACTTATACTTCAATTTGACGAGAGTATAATATCCCTAATGGTATGTCAACGATGAGATGTAGATAACTGATACTCAGCTATCCGGACCAATTATTAAATGATAAATGGTGATTTAAATTAAATATTATATTTTCTTCCTCCCCCACCTTTCCTCTAACAAAGAGTAAATGTGCCCATAGCTTTCCTGCAAATTAGAATCCTGTACTCGACCGTAAACCCGTTCAAACTGGGTTGTTCTACCTGGCCGCAGAATCATTAGTAAACATTTCTTTATTTTTGCTTGTCACGTTCACAATTATATGATTTAGAAGTATTTTAAACATTACAAGTGCAAAGAAAGTGGTTATAAAATCATGTTTACGTGACCTATAAAGCTTAAAAAACTAGTGAAGGTATACAATGGCACATACTTTGGGTGAGCTATATTTAGCTACTTAGAGTGAGCTATATTTTCGGTTTTCCCCACTCTTTTCCCAGTTTCTACCTAATGGCATCTCAAATACATTTGTTGCCCAAAACTTGTACGAAATCTCGAAAAAGATTTTTCACAGCATTACATAACTTTTTCTTTACTATATATATATATATATATATATATATATATATATATATATATATATATATATATATATGTGTGTGTGTGTGTGTGTATATATTACTCCGTGTACATGTATGTTTATAAGAAAGTAAAAACTAATAGTGCTACGACATTACATCTTCATTGGAATTTATGCAATTTCTGAAAAATCAGAAAGATCAATAAAAATCGGGCCTGCACCATTTTTATGATCCTACTTTGTACTATCCGAGAACAATTTAAAGAAAAAGTTTGAAGCCGTATTTGAGATAATCTGATCGTTAGTTGTTCTTAAATTAAAAAAAAAAAGATCATGCACATTTTTTCCAAAAAATATTAGTTTTGCGTATTTTGCTTTTGAAATTGTCGTAATTTTTTCTGGTCCAAACGTTTTCCTTAAAATTTCTATACTTATTTAATAAAGGATGGTGCTAGTCCCATTTTCGAGTATTTCTTGTTTTATGAAAATTTAAATTTTTGAAAAAAAAAGTATTTGTTTTTGCGTTATTCGCACTAGTAATTTACTATTTTTTCTAAAAAACAGCTCCAATTGCTTTTTGATTTTTTCCATACATGTAATAAGGGGCGGTAAAAATATGGTGCTTGTCCCTTTCTCGAGAATTACTTGTTTTTTTTCAAAAATTGCAACAAAAAATCAAAACTACAAAAATAAAAATAGAGATTTTTGCCTCATACAAAATATGTTGTACAAATTTAGCTCTTTAAAAAATTCATGTACATTTTTTTGTAAAAGTTAGTAGTCTCCGCGTAATTTCTGTTTGAGGCAAAAATGTCTATCTTCAATTTTGTAGTTGTAAACATTTTTGGTTTTGGTTTTTTCGAAAAAAATGAAAATGAAACCGGCACTATTCTCTTAAATGTTTTCGTAATATTCAACAACAAAATTTAATAAAAATGTTTGGAGCTATTTATTTAAAAGTTTGAAAACGTCCAAGGGGCTTCACGTAAGTTTCCTCAAAATTAAAATATCGATTTCCAATCCCAAATCCATGACGTCAGGCAGAACGATTGGGAATATCAATTTTGCGGGAAATCGACTCCGTGCTAGCATTGTGGCCAAACAGACGGGCAGACAGACTGACGGACAGACAGACTGACGGAGAGACAGATATATTGCCATGAATCGATTTTTCGCCATGAAGGACGCACAAAACATGGAATCTAATTACACCACGTGTTAGAGAAATTTGTTTCTCTATTTATCAACTGGATTTATCCACTTTTTCGTTACCAGGGTCAGGAAATAAGAAAATTCGCCGTTTTCCGGCGCACGATTACAATACTTTCTCTCCTTACGTTTGTAAGTTCGAGAAAATAAAAAGGGGGTATAGTTCAGTACTTTTCGCCAATGAACTTGTAGTATTTCATATAACGAAGTTACGCATGTGACATTTGTTTGGAAGGCAACTCATTCTTGTAATCGTATGCGATACTTTTAAACCATAGTATTACTTTACTAGATGATTACTTGTTGCTCGATTATTTATTTCATAACATGGTTATAACCACACACTGCAACCTAAAAGATATATCAGCTAGGCTGTCGCCTCGGTCTATAAATTTCTATCAAAAACCTCTCTTAGACAAGAAAAGAGATGAATTCTATATATGGGTTGTCCAGGGAGGAAACAATGAAACTTCGAAAATAAGCTCCTGAGTTAATTTTAAGCATATTTTATCTAAATTTCGAACGGCTGAGCTGCAATAAGCACTCAAAGTTGGTTTGAAGAAATACTTAAATTTGAATTTCAGAAACATGTAAATTGTTTATTCTTTACATAATAAATGATTATATTTGTTCACAATATACGTAACAACAAAAGCACTCAATTTACACTATTCAACTGCTTTTTAATTGCTCATACCGAAAAACTGATTGACAGCGAAACAACCGTCTTTCTGCCTCCCTGCTCATCAGTGGTCAGTGTACCACCTAAACCGTTCAGTAAATTTTTGTCCAAATTGATCTATATAAATAATCTCGAGACTCTTTGTTTGTTTGAAACGAATAATTTGATTTTTCAGGATACATTACATGAAGTTTCAAAAACATTTTCAAAATGTTCTCAAAAATGACCTCAAGTTTTTGGATTAAATTTTGTTCTCGCATAGCGTAAAGAACACTTAAAAGATAGGTGCAGGTCTCAATTTTGGTGAAATTCCAGATTTTTCAAAGTTACTAAGTGCAACATTTTTAGGCGTTTTCCTACCACTACAATATTTCAGAGAGTGATGTTTTTCTTGATGAAATGTTATTGAAAGACAGACCGTGAAATAGGATCAGGTGCAACGTTTCGAAAATGTGAGTCGTTTTTGCGTAATATTGCGAGAAATATTGTTAATTTAAAAAAATATTTTCTCGGAAATGGATCCAATTCTTTAAAATTCTCTTTTACATCTCTCATTATGTAACAGAATGGTAAAAAGTTGACTATAATTTTATTTCCGGCAGACTTATTAGACCTACTTAATTGTACCTAATTAACTCGCAATTAGACTCTTTATTAGGTTCTTTAACTACAAATGACAATAAAAAGGCCGTTTGTTTTAACAGGCAACACGCTTCCGTTTACTAATATGAAACTTTCGATTCGATGTATGACTTATTGGAAAAAGGATCGCGAAATCAGGAGAAGTAAATCTGTAGACCCCGACGGGATACCAGGGGAAATACTAAAACTAGGATTCGTACCCGTAATTTTGTCGTTTACCGTTTATTATTACCCGTAATATGCAAGTGTAACCATAAGTAGGACCCAGGTTTGCTTTGAAACCTACACTCGGAGTCGGGACCTTCTTCGAGCATGTGCGTCCCCTTGAACGCCTAGGTGTGATTCCTTTTTCTCCTCCTGTCGGTCTTACTTATCTAGATCTGAGCGCTCTGCTTGGGAGAGCGTTAGACGTATCCACTGCCACTTTCCGCCCTTCGAAACTCCTGGCGCCTCAGACGGCATCGAACCCACGCACTGAGGGTTTAGAGGCCAATTAGCTAATCACGTGCCCACCTGGGCGCTGCACATGTAAAAATATAATTTTGGTAAGAAGGACAGTTTGTGAAGAGATGAACTCTAATGGTTATTTAATTTAATTTTAAAAGGAGCCTCTAAATAAGAAAGAAATAACAAACAGTGATATATTATATTTTATCATTATATTTCTTTGATACATTTTATGCCTGAAGAAAAATATTTCGTTTATAATTTTCCTGTAATGTGAATTCATGTCAGTCATCCTGGATATCCAAGATACTTAAGGGAAATGCGTTTTTTTCGTCTCGGTTCGAAGGGTCGCGGGATCAAGTCCCGCCTCGAGCGTGGTTGTTTGCTTGTGATGTGGTATGTTAAATCCCTCACCACTACTACTATCACCTGAAAGGTGGGGTCTTGCGCCCAAGTACGCTGCGTCTGGGCTGTGGGTCCGAATCCTGCGAAGTCATGGGCGTAGTGTGTGGTGCCATGAAGGAGCTCCCCCACCTACAACGTATCACCATTCAAATCCCCTTCCTTTCCAGACTTCGGAACTCTTTCCCGTAAACGGTTACCCGCTTCCGAGAAAGGGCGACGAGGCACTTCGGCTAAAACCAACTTTACAACTGGCTGAGATAGACCTACGGACCGACGAGGTGATGGGTCCTCCCCCACAACGTAAAAGAACAATTTCATCGAGAGCGGAAAGCCCCGAGAATCCACGAAAATTGAAGGTCATGGAAGCTGGGATGGGCGAGTTGACGAAGGACCGAAAGGTCAAAAACTGACATCACAAAAATTATCAAACAATGTAAATTCATCTTTAATATAGATGAATTTGAAGTTAGCAGAAATTACGATGGAGTGACTTTTTCCATATAGCCATGGCCATTTTATTCCTTCTTTCTTTTTGCCCCGAAAACCCGCACCCTATAGATGTTCACCCGAAGTGAAACATGAATGTTAATCAGATTGGCTAGTGGGGGCAAAGGATCTTATCTACGGGGAAATATGCGAGTAAAAAGAAAGTATTTAAATACTTAATTCTTCTTGGTGTGGCGCCTGTAGCACATATTTTTATACGAAAGATACTCATGTGTGCTATGAAAGTTCATAATAAAAAATTCAAAACAATGCAGTTGCCTGGCTCGTCCATCCTTTAGCTTCTAAAAAGTATCGATTGAAATACTTCTTTTAAATGGCTGTTTCATTACAAAAATAAATTAAATATCGTAAATTTGATTAATAAAGTTGGAACGTTTCATGTTATTCCGGGAAAGTATATTAGTAATCAATAATATACTATTGGCACCGTAGATAATTTGACCCCTCCCGTCAAACAACAGTTTCTCTAAAAATCTTAAAGAATATTCTAAATGGGTCAGGCTCAAAATAGTGCCAGTAACCTTAATCACCTTTGTATCTTATCCCCAAAACGTATTTTAGGCGCTTAAAATCCTCAAAATACATTTTTGAGAGTTCTCTTGAAAGTTCTGGAAGAATTTTGGAAAATGGTTAGTTCATTAGTTCATAGAAACAAATCAAATGACAGTTTCTTTGTCTCCAACTGGGATCTAACTGAGAGTAACGGACGGGCTGGCAAACACGCAGGTTATCTAATATACGTATGATTATTCAAATATTGTGTGCAATTTTTAATAATATTTCTCTTTGCATAGGAAACTGCATTAGTGGACGAATTTACTGTCAAGGAGATGATTTTCTATTTTGGAAGAGTATTTGGAATGAAAATGGAAGACATGGAGGCTCGTTTCGAGTTTTTATATCAGCTCCTGGAACTACCAGGCAAAGATCGCTACATTGAAACTCTCAGGTATGTATTGTTATGCGCAGGTAAATAAACACAACCAAATGCCAATTCAAGGCAGATACAGTGAGTTTTCTTGCATCCCAAAAAAGGAAATATCCAACAAATACATAAAAATATAGTATTGTATCTAAGAATTTGTTTATTTTCGTCAAAGCTACCCACGTTGAAACTGGTCACGAATGACATACATACAGGTATTTTTAAATCTAGGTTAAAATACTATTTATATGTACAATCAATAATGTTCAATTAGATCAAATGTCATGAGGCACTATTTACCTTCATACTAGTTCAAAGGGCTTGGTTCTTTCAGCCTTCTTAATTGGGTTTGGTTATCCAGAAGTCAAATGGCTTCTACATTGGTAAACATGTACTCGCAGACACATGAAATGTCACAAGAAATTTATTGTTTGTTAGCGTATCTTCTGATTTCACTTTAGACCTGAGAAAGCCCAAGGTCATGCTGTAGGTCACTATTTCTAAAGTATCATGACAGATTTAGCATGCTTCGCAGTTCTTTATTTTGCGAGGTCAGGATATATTTTATATAACTTTCTTTGGCACAACCCCTGAGGCATATTTCAAATAGGCAAACCGTTTTTAATAAATGGTTGCAAATAAATATATTATTTTGAATAAACTGATGAGAAGTTCAACCCAGCAGCCAATGCAATTGACAATATTTCAGATTTACTGAGTACTTTTTACTTCCTCCCTCTTACTTCGTAAGAAAAAAAGTATTGTTCGAGTAGTTGTGCGTCGGAAAACGGCCGGTTTCCGACAGAAAAACTCATAATGCAATGTCCTGGTAGCGCAAATGTGGATAAATATTATTCCTACACAGGTGTACAGAGGCTCCCGTTACAAAAAAATACTACATATTATATGTTAACTTTCAAAAGGAATGGCAGATCCAGTTCTTTCGAGAAAAAAAGTCTTGCATAAAACTGACATTGTATTACTTCCAAACGCAAAATTCAAACCGGCTGCCAGTTCACACACCGACGCGGCTTCTACAAACCAATTATGCGCCCTTACAGCCCCTTACATTACATATAGAAATCCAAAAATCGCATGTAGCTTCACTACGCGCACGTTTTGTTGAGTTCTCCTTTTTTCTTGTAGTAGCAGTAGAAGTAGAGCTGGGAGTGTCACTATTTTGTTATCAATTCAAAACAATCAAATCTGCAATTTGTATACCAATACAAATATGTTTTCTATAACTCGGGAGCGAAAATTTCTATTTTTTTCAAATTTTGCTAATCTCGATTTTTATAATTTTATTATTATTATTATTATTATTATTATTATTATTATTATTATTATTATTATTATTATTATTATTATTATTATTATTATCATTATTATTATTATTATCATCATTATTATTATTATTATTATCATTACTTAAACGTTCATTCATCTTTCAAGTATTTATAGTTAAAATGTTAGCAAGGGATTCTGGAGATCACGTAAACGTGCGCTGTTGGTACTTCTCCCCTTAAGTCACATACAGATTTTACTGTTCTCTGACTAAATAAATCAAATCTTATTTAGCAAGAAGTGAACATTTTACTCTCTCCCCCTCACATATGCCCTAGAAAAGGGATTCTTAATATTTTCTTGTATCGACCCCTTTTACAAAAATTATTCACTTTATCGACCCCCTTCAATTTTTCTATAATGTGCACGCACATACTATGTGCTATATGTAAAGCATAAGACAAAATCGTTGTACAAATAGTTGCAAATAAATGACAAAATTATCATTCGACAACAATTAGGTAATCTTTTTTGCTTTTCTTTTCCACAATTTAATAGATTCGATTTTTACAAATGTATAAAAGAGTCCAAAAATCACAGATTGTATTTGCAATGGAGTTAAATTTTCATTCATGGGATGAGAATCAAAAAGAGGTTCGAATTTGTTAAATAAATGTTTGGAACTTTCATATAAGACAACAATAAATTATAAAATTCATTAATATATATTATTATAATATTCATATTTGTTGTAATCATCATGTGAGTTCGTCCACCGACCACCAATCGCTTCCTGGGCCATCATTTTGAATGTGATGGCTTCCAAGGGGTTCGTTGGGAAGCGGGTGGCGTGCGCTGTGGCGAGCGAGTGGGCGTGGTGTTGCAGCGGCGGGCAGAAGCGGCGCGTGTCGTTCGCGGTGGCGCTGCTCAGCAAGCCGGAGCTGCTCATCCTGGACGAGCCCACCGTCGGCCTCGACCCCGTGCTGCGCCAGGGGTGAGTATCCCGCCCCTTCACCCCCCCCGAAGATCCTCCTTTTGACAACTTGGAATTTAGTTTATGTTTTTCCTAGTCTTGTATGTGTAATTAGGAGGGGTCGGACTTCTAGGTGATAAAAAGTGAAAATATTTTTTATGTGCTTCACACGTACAAAATATGTGTTAAAAGACGAAAATAATAATTGATTACGAGTACCCAAATAAACACCCAGTAACCAAGATCGAGAGCTCTGGAAGTAAAACGTGACGTCATTCTCTTTAACACAATGCACATTGTGTCTGTGCAATCTGAGAAAATTTGGAAGCTTATGTGCGTAAGCCATCGTTCGGAGTGTCATTTCCTGAACCGACGGTCTTGTAAGAAATGGCCCTTAAACGTTTTGGCAGGTCGTGAACCAAACTCACTCCACTCAGTCAGGTCCCACAGTAACATGTGATGTGTGGCCTACCAGTGCATTCCAAACTGCCACGTCTTTCACTATGTATCCAATATTTCCAAAGTATTTAACTTGAAAATACTCATCATATTAATTTATTCATATAAAACGTAGCGAAATATGTAATATTATTTATTTTTATGCAACTTAATCAAAATATTTATTTTTACGCGATATACAATTTTGTATATTGAAGTTATGGGGCGATTTCTACGAAACTTTCAACGCTCAAGATTAAGGGGATCAATATGTATTTACCTTAATATGTATTTTAATACCCGAGTCCTAGAAATTAGCAACTATACTCTGAGGTACCCTGCCGTTGCTTGGTATTTATTTATCCGAAAAATATGTTAGTCAGGAAAAAATTAATTTTCCAATAAAGTAAAATGAAAGTAAATTTATTTACAGCCCCGCCACTTCCGCTCTCACTCCTATCCTCCCGTATTGACCCCCGATCTGTTCCGCCCCATCTCGCCCCCGCACCCCCAATTGCTTCAATACTTGATGGTTGCGTAATAGGCAACAGAAATCTAGATTCCAAGTTTCATCTTCACTATTTTTGACTCTGCAGAGACATATTCTAATCCTTCTTTTTTAATGTAAGAGAAAGCGACCTATCCTTGTTTTTTTTTTTTTAGTATTTAAGGTCGCATCAACATCTAGGTCATTAGCGACTACTATTGCAGTTAACGATATCGTAACTGTGAAGGTGTCATGATGTGGTGATGATAAGGGGTGAAAGGACGAACCGAAATACAACCATGCCCGAGGCAGGACTCGAACTCGCTACCCTTCGGTACAATATCGCTGTGACACTACTGCCTTAACGGTCTTCGCCATCCGGACCGGCTATCTTCAGCTTTGTTTATCTAGTCTGGAATAAATAACATTTACACATTATGGTATCATTGGGGCAAAAGACCTTTAGTAAGGGTTCGGGTTAATAGGGGTTAATTATCGGAAAGTATTTCATCAGATGCTCGGTGGGGAGGGGCTATAAATTCTGAAAACAAGTGTAGTATATAAATACGAACGTAAATATTCAAAAAACTTGGTAGTCATCTCATAAACCTTGAAGAAATTCACATGGATAGGTAAAAAGAACTGTAGAAGATTACTTTCTTTTACCTGTACTAAAATATTTAATTTATTTGTAATTATTCAATTTTTACAATCGAACATTTTATTTAGTTTTACAATAATATAGTTTTGTTGCAACTTTCCAATCACATACTTTTATTCGAGTACCTAACTTAAGTATTATCTTATTATCTTTTATAATGATGAAATCATCATTGTCATTCGATTTAACGGCATTTAAAAGCTCTGTTTTTTTCACTTGTCATAAAATTTACTACAGTTACATTTTAAATATACAATAGAACCTCGCTAATCCGAACGCCGCAAATCTGATATTTCGGATAATCTGAACAAAATCCGGAATGGGGCAAAAAAAATATACAAGATAAATAAAATGTTAATTTGAAGAGTAAAGAATGGATTTTGTAATTACTGTAGAAGTGAAGAATTAATTATTGAAACACAAGTTGTCTAAATGAATCGTTTTTGCACGGGTAACTGCGCTATATATCACAAGTTTACGTAGTTGTAATTTGCACTTAAAGGAACTTGCAGAATAGGTAATCTTTTTTTGCCGCAAGGAACTGAATCTGCTTGATAAGATGATTCTATCTACGCTAAATTGACATTTTCTCTCATCGCACACTACGTTTCATCGTCTGCTAATTCTATAGATGTATTTGTATATGTGCGGTACATTTTTTTTCGGGTGATCCCAACATTTCCGAATCCGAACAGACCACACGCCCATTTAGTTCGTTTTACCGCGGTTCTACTGCATTTTTGTACACAACTCGGATTTTACTATTTAGCTAGACCTCCGACATGAAAATTGGTGTTGCCAACCCGGAAATAATCGTTGGCAGCCGGTCTTGGATCAGAAGTGCCGATCATGTTGGCCAAAAACCAATCGGGTAGCAACCCTGCACTATGAAGGGGCTTTTACCAAAGAGGTCCGAGATCCGATCTGAGGAGATCCGTCCACTGAGAATATCCCGCCTATCACGTTTGGCCACCGATGGCAAGAGAACTCGCAGCACAGAATGGAGTCGGAAGAAGGAAGGAGAGGGACGGAGCGATTGGGGGAGGAAGGAGCGAAGCGAGGAACACATAGGTAGAAAAGAAACTGAAATTACTTCAGTTTTATTCAATAGCTATAATTCATTCCTTTTCCTGCCGAATGGAAGATTATACACGGGCAACGCCGGATTTGTTAACCGACTTTGTTATAAGAAGGATTGCATGCATTCGAGACAGTGTGAGTATTCTAAAATCTTCTGGAATCCAGATTTCGTTTTTCACAATGTTGCTTTCCTACAACAAATTTTATTTCTCTAAAGTATTAAAGACACTTATTTCTGAATGATTCTGCAATATGTTAAGTGAAACTTTCTCTAGTGACTCAACCGTTTTGTCTTATTTCAGAATATGGAATTTTTTGATGGAAATTACTTCAACTCATAAAGTCACAGTAATCGTTACTACGCACTATATAGAAGAGGCTCGGGGAGCTCACACTGTAAGTAAAGTAAAGTAAGTAAAGTTAATAGTCTGAGTGTCCCATTAAGAGTGATGAGGTTTCTTTAGCATGGAAATGGCTGGTCTGCATAGAAATAGTTCGTTTTCAGGTAAATCCAGAAAATATTGAGCTTCTGTGAGTCACATTTTGTTCACACAGTTTCTTGACTTTTGTGATAGACCCTTCACTCACAATTGTTGTGTTAGTCACATCTGTCATTAGCGGTAACAATATCTGTTCCTTTCCGACGTATTTTTCCGTCCACCTCCATCTTTTATTATTTATTTAGCGTCAAAAACGTATAAAATTATGTTTGGCGTGTGAGAGAAAAGTGTGCATTCTGTGCCAGACAGCATGAGTTCCAGAATCCCTTCTGTCGCTCTTTACCACACCAAGTTTAGTTAAGGATAAATTATCAATGAGCGTTCTTTGTAAAACTTGTTTACAAGATAAATTTCATCCCGTAAAAATTAATTTCCTCCCGTTCAATAAAAGCTAAAGAAATTTGTCTATTATCCCTTCCCACATACTCGACGTGAAGGATCCGATTCATTACCGCGAGGACTTGACCAGCGATTATTTGTAGGTGCGATTCATGAAATATATTCCCCAATAAGCTCCAATATCCATGTTCCTCAATAAACCCCACAGAGCTCAATACAATGTGCGCAAATAGTGAAACTTATCCACAACAGTCTGGCAGGTCACGTAATGATAAAACGAGACTTCGTACACCTGTTGAAAACAAATGCATGGTAACTTTCCAAACAGATAGAGAGACATATCATACCGGTAATTTCGTGACAGTCCAACTGTTCATTACCCAAAAACGATAATTTGGGTGTCCTCTACGTCCCCAAGAAGTCCCAATTTATTCTGAGACATGTTTTTGTTAGAAGGAAACCCCACTTCTGGTTATCCGTTGAACCGTTAGCTTTCTTCCTGCTCCGCCACTTGTCTGCTAATGTGTTTCACTGATGATTGTAGACGCGCGTCTTATAAATGGAAATCGCGTTCCGTCCCTTTTTCAGCTTAATTGTGCAAATTTGTGAAATAATATGATCAAAATGAAAATTTTCAGAACGTAAACATTACTGATTGTCTTCAAAAGAGAGTGGTATGATCTGATATGGACATAAAGAGTTTCGATAGATTATAAATAAATATATAAAATGATAAATATTGACGTGCGAAGGTTTTAAGTCACAATATTCTTAATACACTTAGTTATCCGGCAAATTTTAAATTGCGTGTGTTTTTGCCAGCAGACTAGGAACACCAGTGAATATGAAGATTAGGAGTGTCTTTCCTCATTGCATTTCATTTGTTTGCGTGTACATTTTACATTGAACAGAAAAAATATTTTTTTCAGAGCCTAGAACCAGAAATTTTGCAACAATTTTCAATTTCCTTTTTATGATTAATTCATTGTTGTATGTAAATAATATTGAGGCTCTAGTGACTCAGTAGCGCAGTCGCCTTTCACCACTGAGATTGCGTGTTCGATTCTCGTAGAACCTCGTGTGAAATTTGTTACGACAAAACGAGTTTGCCTGCTTCACAGGGTATATTCCAATCCCCGTGAAGCGTCCTAAACCTTCACCCCTATTCTTATTCCTTCCAAATTCTGGCCGATGTTTACATGACGCAGAGTGTGTGCGAGACGCGAGCGCGAAGACGCTACCTATCGGCGATTCCCTGACTTGACAGCGGCTTGACTACCCAGCGGCCCCTAGCGGTGGTGGGTGCTTAACGGAGGATTACTCCAACGTAAATTAATGGAGATTACCCCATCCACGGTGAGCTCAACGCTCCTTAAGACGCTAGGAGACGCGTTGCGTCTATATAGACGCAACCGTTTTTATTATTAAAAAAGGGATTCAGATACACAAACAATAAATTGTTATAGAACAAAACAATCAAACTTGTTATAGAACAAGTTTTAAAATATTAAAGATAAGATTCTAAATGATTTTTGTTCCACTAAAACTCAAATCGTTCTTCGTTTACTAAAACGTTCATCATTTCTGAAAATTACCTCTTTTAGTTTTGAGAACGAAGAAAAACTTAGTTTTGTTTTTCAACCCGATATAATTTGTTGCGTCTTAATCATTTGTCCATTAATCGACGTAACGCGTCTCTTAAGTTCCCTCTCAAGCATTGAGCCCTTTCGGAGTAATCCTCCGTTAATATTCATTATGTGTCTCGACAGCCAGTTTTCACGAGGACTGTCGCGTAAGCCCCTGCTACTGAACACGCTCCGGCGTCCCTACCCAGCGGCCAGAATGTGGAAGGAATTAGAATAGTGGTAGGGTTTATAACGCTTACAGGGGTTGGAAGAGCCCCTGTGAAGCACACAAACTCGTTTTGTTGGAACAAATTTAAACAAATCTCACCAGAGATTGAGTCATAATATATAAAAGTTAAAATAATTTTGCAGAAATAACTTAATAATGTTCACATCAATGTACTCTGATAATTAAATAATATATTGCAGGTTGGATTGCTGAGGGAAGGCCAGCTTTTGGCTGAGAAGAGCCCTCAACAACTTCTAGTTCTCTACAACTGCCCAAGTCTAGAGGATGTGTTCCTGAAATTATGCACCAAACAAGGAGAATTTATTTCTGCACCAGATGTATATGTATGTGCAAATAGTATTAAGTTTTATTACAATGGTTTTTAGAAATGTGAATTTAACTATTGTATTCTCAATTGATTTTTCTACACATTGCGCGCGACAATTCTTGCACATACATAGAAAGCAATGCCATTGTTAGAGTTACATTCTAGAGATTATTTGTAACTTTTGATTGACATTATGTTGACTATTCCACTCGTGAAATTAAAACTAATAACGTAACTATACATACAAAATGACCTAATCAGGACGGTGTATCTCAAAAACTTAATCGCTTTTTGTATCCGATTTTTCTTACCGCTTCTCCCAACTGGCCAATCATAAACTGTGACTCATCTATCTTCGGTGGCGGTATACTACATCGATCGCTGTTTTGCATGTGATTTTAACATAGCTTTCAGTTATTTCGCATTGTGGACTCTAGTGGATTCATTATTGGCGCATTTTGAAACTCTATTGGACATAATTTCACTCGTAGAATAGTCCTATTAAATACCCCTCGTACTTTGGAAACTCTCAGATAAATCCCCTCCTCGCATTGCGGGTCGGGAATTTATCGACAATTTCCATATAACTCGTGGTATTACCTACGATAAATTGTACTGACATAGCGCTCCAAAGAGTCAAACCTTCAGTTTGTGAGCAACTGTTCTCTGTCAATACTAGTAAGACCGTTCATCTTTCCTGCATATGCACTGTCAACTTCGGTTTAAACCAATCGTTTGCTTTACACCTGCCTCTCCCGACGTGTTAACCATAAGGAGGAATAAGCTTGGCTTGGTTGCAAAAGAAAATCGAATGGACACTGCTTACAACGCTTTAGCGATCGTAGATAAATGAGTATCCATCTTTCAGAAATTTCAGGCCTTTTATCTGGTCTGTTCTGGATTTGTAATTATACCTGATGAGGATTATGATGTTTACATCCCAAGACATTTGAGCAAAGCAAAACTAGAGGAGCTACAACAGCACCTCGTGTTATTTGTTCTCGTGTTATTTGCAGCGGTACATAATATTATTAGTTGAACCCTGTTAAGTCTTTCCGACTTGCAAAAATACTTCTTTATTTAACGTTGGCACAACGACTCTGATCATGAGCGACCTCTGCAATATCTCCCTGCGCTGGGATTCGAACCTAGGCACATAGTGCAAACCCTGCGACCAGTCATCTGATCCGACACCCTACAAAGCGCTGCCTACAAAAACGAGCATTCCCAACACAACAAAAAAGTTAATCTTTTGCAATTTTCGAAATTGAAAATCATTGAAAATCATATGCCGTATTATTAAGCTAACTTTGCCCTTCTTCCGTGCTTCTCAACCTCTTAGCGCGCTCTGGTTCAGCGCTTACCTTCAGGCCTGTTACTTATCATTCAGTTTGAATGGGAGGGAAGGGAGAGAAGGCGCTCGAGCTGTCGGCTCTAGTCTAGTGAAATCTTATTTATCGACTTTTAATTTGCATTGATTTTACTCAAAATCACGTGGAAAATTCTCATATTAAAAATATTACATAAAATCCTTTTAAATGCTGAACTTTGAAAAAGATTTCATTCTCGGAAAAATCTATCTTCTACACAAGTTGATGTTGGAGATAAATAGCATATTACAGTTTTTTATAATATAGCATATTACGCCTCATATTTTGAATCAGAGGGAATGCATGAGTTCAAAGAGCTATTGGAGTGTCGGAAACGTAGCGTTCGAGTTTGCCAATCGCGAGATCGAACCCAGCAAGTAATTTTGCTTGAAGTAATTAACAGCCATATTTTGGTGAATGGCGGGATCGATTTCGTTGATCGATTGCTCTGCTTAATGCTTTCCCTGAAAACGAGACGAGGCCTTCAAGAGGTACGATGTCCAAGCAATTCAGACGAGGTCTGAGCAGCTCCCTAAACACGCACCACGGACCGCGGGCGATCTTCCCTAACCATTGCCTTCTACTACCTCCCCAATCCGGATTGGAATGCTATCGCAGGGCGTGATTGCCCATAACCGGCCTATGCCGGAGTGTTAGTTGGCAACTTCCCATGAAGCATTAAATAAGAATGATAAATAGTATTTTTTTTTCTAGGATGAAGACCATTCAACATTATCTATTGAATCTAAAGAGGTGGAAGACAGACCAGAAAATATAAAGGTCAGTGAAATAAATATTTTTTGATAAATCATTTTTATAGAAATGATGAGATAATATACCATTTACGTTGTATATAATGTACCGTATAAATGATAAAGTAACATGACGTATTTCCAGGTATCTTCTCAAAACGAGACTTCAGATTTCACTCTCTCGCCGTCTTCTGGGAATAGAATGAAAGCTCTTCTAATTAAAAATTATAAACAAATTTTGAGAAATAAAGGGTAAGAATAGTTTTTTTCAGTTGATGGGAACAAATTACGTTTTTCGTGTTTAATATAAATATTTGATAATTGAAGTCACAAACTTTGTGTGTTTCAGTGGTTTAATATTCCTAATTTTCTTTCCGATCTTGCAAATGTCTTTGTATTTTGGAGCTGTTGGAGGAGACCCAGAAGGACTTCGTTTAGCAATTGTGAATGAAGAATTTCCAAATACAACCAACTGTTCAGAATTTTATAAAATTCAACAATTTCCAGACAACATATGTGGTCTTAATGGAATAAGTTGCAGATTTTTAGATAAAATTAATGATTCTCTTGCAATTAAGGTAATTCAGCAATCGTTTTTAATATATTATGATAGTTTAGTAATTATTATAATGCACTTTTATCGTTGCGATAACTTGTGATAACGTTTAAAACTTGGCAGTGTTTCTGGTTTTCCAGTATTCTTTCATCCTTTTTCAGAAGCAAGCTTTCCGCTTTTCAGACCATTTTGCACCAGATCTTTTCATCGCTTTCTTCGGAAGATGCGTTATCTCGTGTTGCCAGGTTCTGAACTTAATCTTCAGTTGGTTGAACTGAAGATTAAGTTCTTCCGTCATACGTCGTGGGGTTCTCTAGTCCCCTATTTAAATACTTAAAATAAAAGACCATACCTTGTGCTTAATTTTTTACTGAATTATGTACACAAAAACAACTCTTTCCAAATCGAGGTGGGTGAAAAAATATGCACAAGGTAACAGAAATCGTATCTTAATAGCGCTCTTAACAGTCTTCTACGCTGCGACAGTTCTTACAAGGGAATGCCGCGATGTGACATGTCGAAACCTGACCTAATCCTTCTTTTCATCGGAAGCACATGGCGTATTACTCTCACGATCAAACTTTTGAGTGCCGATACACACTGCAAGTCAATTAAAAACATCCTGAATTTTCAAGTCGGTCCTACGCTATCACCGATGTAAAAATGGCCATCCCTGCAAAACAGGTGTTACCCAGCGCGCTCGCTTGCGATTCAACACCACTGCCCACCACAAGCGGCAGGCTCTGCTGCCAAGATCGTTTCCTACGAGGGGCAGGCTGAGAGGAAGCTGCCCCTCTTAGCAGCTAAAATAATAATACTAATAACACCAATATCAACTATACATAGTCTAAACTACTAATACGAGTTTTTCAGAATTTTAGTTTTATCTGTTATTCATTTTTGTAGGAGATATATTTCGTCATAACAAACCTTGCCGCAACCGCTCATCTTCCATTCAACATGACCTAGTACCTCCCCTGGAGCTCTTTCCTCACGAATTTGAGAGCTCTTGTAGGCATGTACTGCGAAACAGGCCAGTTGTGTAATCACACGCGAAAGGTCGGTGCAAACTGGAAAAGTGCGGTAAAGTTGTAAGTCTTTCGGAATTTTCGAATGAGAAAATTGATTTATCGTCACAAATAGGCACAAATTAAAGAACGGTAATTTTCGCGAACAAAAAGCAAAATGAGGCCATGAAATGTGAATTTGATTCACAAAACAACTCTTAAATCACATCTTTACATAATTTAATTATAAAGTGATACAGAAGTTATATGATACACGTTTTCAATATTTATTAATTATGCATATTGACGATATTTTTTAATGAAAAAAGTAAAAAAACTTTCAATGGTAAGGAAACAAAATATCTCCAATAAAATGGGCTTTGACAATACGAAAAGCATTGAGTGTACTGGTAATGGCCTGCTCCCACCGAATGTTATTAAACCTTGAGGAAACATCCCTCTACAACGCCAACCTCGGCGCCCGCGCGTTTGCCGCTCTGCTTGCGGGAGCTGTCCAAGTTATCTGTAGAAACAAAAAATAGAACGAAAATGTTGGCAAATTTGTAAATTATTAAAGTAATTGGCAGTATGTATCGGCAGCCGAAATTTACATCGTGGTGTCAGAAGGGCATGTAAATTCAATGAAAAAAATATGAAGGCATGTTTCGAAATGTTACACCGCGGCATTCCCTTTGATAGAGACTTTCATCACGTGTTGTTACATCAATAAACTCCGCACATTTTTGGTTCTTTGCTTATTTTCCTGCTTGAATTTCGTTAGAATATAGAAATAAACACGATTAGAGAGATTCGTTGAGGCTATTTTCGAACGCAGAGCGTCTCAGAAAACGCGCGCGAATTTGAGAGCAGTGGCACTCGATGTGCGGGAAAACGATCCGATGACCAAGAGGATTTTATGATTTATGAAGTTATTGTAAAGAAAAACCCTCCTATGCCTCAGAAATCAACAACCGCTTTGGGGTCTCACCGATCCAAATTAATTTCAAATCGATGTATCTCCAGGACACATAATTTTTCAGGAAGGCAAATTTTCAAATTCAGCTACATAGTTCAAGATTAGATTCAACGGTATTCAGATATCATGTAGCATAGGATGAATGCCATTTGTGATACTTTTCCATCATGCTATCAAATGTATCTTACGAATATATTAAAACTTAAAAGTAGAAAACGAACGAAAATGGAAATGCGTCACATTAAAATTGAGAATTAATTCTACTAAGAACTGTTGTACTGACACCACGTCATCCCCTTCTTTAGTCTTCGCCCGTAGAATATAAAATACCCCCTCCAGGAGTACATCAACCAGATTTATAACGAAATCTACAGATCAGGAAAACATGGCACATTTCAACGAGTCATGTTACCATCGTTGATAATGTGGAAACTATACATCTTAGGTCTTTAAACGCTGACTTCCACAGTGACACGAGTTCCGTCTCTTTTCCAGTAATACACAAAATGAGACCTTTTTGAATGTTCTATTACATATTTGCAGAGCATCTCTTCAACAAAGTTGTCAGAAACGTACGAAGTTGATTCCAGTAAGAAGTTAAAACAAAGATTTAAAAAGCGTGTTATGTTATCATAGCTACAATTAGTAACTTTGTAATAAAATAATATATTATGTAACACATAATAATAACTTTTGTTACTGTATTAGGACTTTTACGATGACCAAGCAAGTGCTATTGAAGCAGTATCACAGGGGAAAGCAATTGGAACAATTCATTTTAGTTCTAACTTCAGTCTCACTCTTCAGCGTAGAGAAGAACTAGGACGTCATACACCTGAATATGAAATAGAACAGGGCAAAATTCATATTCGTTTAGACATGACAGGTAAAAATTTAATTTAAAAAAATTAACAATTGATGTGATATCTACAATATTTTCTGTTATGCATTTCTTTTCCCTCTAATGCAGATTACCAAATTGGTACTCATTTGATATCTGCTCTTAAGAATATTTACTATGAAGTAACTGATGAAATAGTAGCTGCTTGCAACAGGAGTAGCAAACTGACACATGTTCCTATTTTAGTAAGTATGCCACATGTACTATATTTCCATTTACTATTTATCATGCATTTTTTTCACTTAGCAAACGATTTTTCTTTTTTCATGGTAGTTCAATGACCCTATTTATGGTGACAGAAATCCACAATATATATTTGGTCTAATTCCTGGAAATCTATTAATGTAAGTACAAAGTAACATAATTAGAAGAAACGTGCTTCACTACAAAATTCTAATTTTGGCCTCACCAAAGCAATTAATCTATTTTAGGATAATCTACTTTCTCTCATCAGTCCTCACTTCAACAACTTTCATTACTGAGAAGATTTCTGGTGTTTGGGATAGAAATTTGGTGGCAGGTAAGAAAACCATACTGAATTCAAAAGGAAATTCAATTTTCATTGGTTTCTATATTCCAAAATAATCACTATTATTTAATTTGCAGGCATAACTACCTCAGAAATCCTCTTCTCTCACCTAATCTCACAATTGACTAATGTATTTGTTCAATGTGCAGCATTAATAGCAGTTATCATTATATTTGCTGTACCATGTAGAGGAAATTACAGTGAAATATTTTTCATAGTATACTTACAAGGAGTGGCTGGAATGTGTTTTGGTCAGTATGTTTCTCTATATAAAATATTGTCTTGTACATTAATTGAATATACATTAAATATTAACCTTCTATTTTGTATGTTCTTGTGGGAAAAATATCTTCTGCATTATTTTTGGTATTAATATTTCATTTAAAATTAAATATGTTCATTAAGTCATTTATGCATGCACATATGAGAGGGTGGACTATGGCCCTTTCAACATTCAAAAGAGCTCTTCAGCCTTTTCTAACACATTTATTTCTGTAATTTTCAATCCCAATTTTCCTTTTTTTACCTAACAATTTGGTAACTTCAATTACATTTGGTGAAAAGATTCTCCATGCTATCTAGCAACTTGTAAATGGTTAATTAATAAGCATAAAATTAATTTTGTGTTTGTGTCTTTAAAGTTGTAATTAATTCTTCTTGAAGAATATTATATTTATTTACTATTAAAATAAGTCATATTTACATAAAAACTTTAGGGGCAAGTGGGCTTCAGAAATAGACTCATAGTTGCACCCTCTTTGCTGCACACCCCTGATTTCGCACACCCAATACGGAGCTAATAAGGCTTCAGCCTCCCTGCCTCTCCCCTGAAGTCACTTATTCACAAATAAGGTTGTTACTAATTATCTACAGTAAGTTATTCAATATCTCTTTTAAATACTTATTAATAACTATAGAGCAACAAATAAAAATAAATTTTAAATTAAGTGTAAATGAAAAATTCTTCATAAAAAGACATCAAGTCAGCTGTAAACGACACCTGTAGTTCCCCCTTCCCTCTGAAAAATCTTAATTGTGCTCGTGAATATGATCATATCAATCAAGCTTCTAACATTACTTTCTAGTTTGCATAATTATACCATTATTTTGTTTTTCAGGTCTCACAATTTCTGTTTTGACACAAAATGTGACATTTGCCAATTATATGTCAGTGGGAGCATTTATGCCTGCATTCCTTTTGAGTGGTAAACATTTAATTATTTTAAGTGTTCTTAATGTGTGTTTTTAATTTCTACATGTATATATCACTGCATCATTGACATTGTTATTTTTTAAACAGATATGTTGAGGAAATTTTATGATTAATTTTTCAGGCATCATATGGCCAATTGAAGGAATGCCCATGGTTCTAAAAACTGTGAGTCTCCTTTTACCTTCTACCTTGCCAGCTTTAGCAATGCGGTATATAATGGAAAAAGGATGGGACTTTCTGTATTTTCCGGTTCAACTCGGATACCTCGTGAACATTATTTGGATTATAGGTCAATGCATATTCAGCACAGTGATATTAAAAATTAAACATAATTGAGATGTGTTAATCCAAGTAATGTGATTAATAATATTTTTAGTGAGACATTATTGTGTACTTCACTATAATGTAAATAATACTTGGAAGCCCTTTGTAAATTTACTCAATAGAGTATATCAGGGGCAACATCATATCATCATATGAGATGTCATCAAGGAGGCACATCCAATTCAACTCACAAGCCAAAGAAGCAATGGCAATTGCCATGGCTAAAGTTAAAAGTCACTTGGATTTTTATTTTCCTGCATGAATTCACTAAAAGCGACTTTAATTGCAGGTGAAATATTTATGCTCAAGTTCAATTCAGTTGATAAGGCAAAATTCCTTGATACTGCTGTAAATATCTATGAGGAGATGCATATAATACAATAATGTATTCATTCTTATGATATAGAGTGAAATGTTATGTTTTTATAATAAAAAATATTTTATATTACATTGGTTACATTGAAATTTTCTCACCCGATATCAAAACTATTTTAATAATACGTCATTTAAGAGATGTAACACTATATTATATTCTTGATTCCATTCCATTTTCTGCTTTCCTATTTTCCTTTTTACTTTCCTTTCGTATATGCGTGAAGCTGTTGTATTTGAGTTCCCATTTCCTTTATTTTATAAATGGACTCGTATACCAAATTCAAGAGTAGTTCCTCGAACGTAATTATTTTATTCGCCATGTCACATGAAAGTCACAAGAAAAATGGTCCAAATGCTTACTTTGAATTCACTACTCGCCTCTTCATCTATCAACACGGTTCGCAAACCGTAGTTCACTTCATAACAATAGTAGTACTGAAATATCATAACCACAGACAACATTAATGACATGTAATGAGTCACATAATGACACGCAGGCACATAACCGCAGACACCACCTAACACAATCTGAAATCGACTCCACATTTGCTTCTCGCGGATTTTGTTGCGCACACGAAGGCCACAGTCCTGCAGTCTTCGTGCTTGTGCACTTTTTTTTTCATGCGTCTCTTTTGTTGATCCTTTGTAGAATTCCGACGTGAACTTGTATGTAAAAGCTAGGGGCATGTGAACTCCCAAGTTTTCGGATTCACGTCTTCGGTTACGTGATGGCGTTGTGAATGGTCTCGCTTATTAACTAATTTCTTGGTTTTGCGACAACGTTACATTTACGTTTAAGTTTGCATTGTAAATTAGGCCTAAGACACACTGCGCATGCGCATGTTCGCTAATACCCCGGAATCGCTCCTCCAAAGAAAGCGTGTAAATCGGGTCGAAGTCAATCGGGTTGAAATCACTCTGAGAAAGAAGTCTCAGCCTTTCCCCTACTTGAGTCCATATCTCAACAGCTCCTGCGCCCGGAGCGGAAACTTTTTCAATGGAAGAGGGAGAAGTGGTGGATCTCCTTTGAATTGCCATCTAGATGAATTCTATTCTACCTAGATGAACGAGTCATGTGCTGTGAGTCTCTCCAGCACCGCGAGAGGGGCCAGAGAAGTGTTATAATTCCACTTCCATTCTTTACATTAAAGAAAACATTTGGAGCCTTTTAAAAAAAAAGTCGTTCAAGCGTTCTGAAAATAAGGAATTTTTATCTTATTTTCGTTGAAAAGTTTTGAGTTTTCAAGAAACTTTACAATACATCATTTGTGCAATAATTGTTAAAAATCGCTAACGTAAATATTAACAAAGTGAGAGATATATACATAAAAATTACACTTGTGTAAGTTTTGAAATAGCAAAAATATACAGAAAATGGAATTTGTCATTGCATACTTGTATATAGTTCATTTAGCACCCTAGCACTAGCACAATAAGTTTGAAGGAATAATTTGGGGCAGATTTTGAGAAAATCCTGTTTTTAATATTGCCTATACTTCTCTCAAAATTACGTGTTTACTGAAATTTTCAAAAAATGGACACTACATTAAAGAATTAATCGTGGATAACAAATTTCTTTTAAAGAGAAAATTGCTAACTTTAATATTGTAGTTTTAGGAAGAGCGAAAAGTCTTAAAACTTTTGGAATTTTCGAAAATTCCGACTTAACAGTGAAAACAAGATCTATGCCCACTTTGTCATATTTTACTCTATTTCTTCTATATCTTACTATATTTCTACTCTAATCGATGCCGTATTTTACTCTATTCTTACAAGAAATTCAAGGAGAAATTTTTCAAAAGTGTTGCAGGAGCTTGGTGTAAAGTACAAAATATAAAGAATAGTTTTCAAAATCACAGGGCTTTGAATCGGGCAAGATCGAGCCAGGAATATTCTTTTTGGAAAAAATCCTAAGAATAGTTTAGGCGCTAGTGATCACAGATGGGCAGACAGGCGGCGAACTGGACACACACACACACACACACGCGCGCGCGCGCGCGCACGCGCGCACGCACGCAGACGAACGCTTTTTAGAGAAGAAGCGTTTTTCCGGCATCAGGTGATCCCCAAAACATGTATTTCTGCTTTGAAATATCAAAATCTATTTACCACAGCATTACATAACTTTCTGCATACTACAAACATTATACTGAATATACGAATGTATACGAAAAAGTCAAATCTGGCTGTGGTGGAAATCTGGTGGTCAATCTGGCATGGGGAAAAAATAATCGAGCGCGTCAGTTTCTGAAGTCATTAGTCCCGTTAAGTACTTGTATCAAGAGAGGTGTTAGTCCTGCTCTGTAATGTGAGATTCGGTGCCGACCTTCACGTCCGATTGCAAGTTTTATCTTCCAGGTATCTCCCCCAGGGGGAAGCTCTAAAAACCGGTCTCACGATCATGTGTGGTAGTATAGTGTACCTAAGTTTCAGTGTGAAAAATGTTGGAGTAGTCGCTCTAGTGCAGTGGTTCAAACGTTTTAGTGGGAGAAACACGCGCACACAACACATCTATCCATTTTCATACATTAAGATTTACATATTTTCTAGTGTTATTTTTAAGTAGGAAACATTCAAATAGTGGTGAGACAAAAAGAACGTGAAATAACTATTAAAGGTAAAAATATTACAAAATTAAACCAAAATCAGAAATATTCTGATAATGAAATTGTTTTTCTACCTGTTTAAATTATTTAAAACATAAGTAGATGATAGTATTTATTATAATACATGGTAGTGTTTATTGAAAGAAAAGTCAACATCAATGTTAGGAAAAACATTAAAAATTAATTCAGTTATTACTTTTTTGAGCTGGTTATTTGAAATGTTGGGAGTACTGTAGCTGAAAATTTTGTATTTAATAAGTCCACCTGAAAAAAAAAACTTTTATTGTAGGTTGAGTAGAAAGCAGCATATAACCAGGTGCAGATCCAGGAGGGAAATGAGAGAAATCCCCTCTAAAATTTTCAGTAACTATTAATTTTAACTTGTCCCGAAACTTTCAAGCAAACAAATTTTCGGATAATCATTAAAATGGATAATCGTAGGCAGCAGGAGCTGAGTGTAGACTGAAGCATTTAAAAAAATCTATAATATAACACATTCAACCACAACATTTTTCGTTTCCACTCTGAAAATTTACCTCTAGATCTGCCCCTGATATAACAGTGAGAGATTTCAAAGAAGTATGCACATGTACTAACTAAAAAAATAAATTAGAAAACTTTGACAAACAAGCAAAAAATGTTACATAGTGGCTTCAAAATTATATAAAAATATAAAATACAAATATGTAAAAATTGTTTTTAAAAACACATTTCATTGTCGAATAAGGATTTTTTTTATTACTGGTTTGATTTTCAGATTTTCTTTAACAGAATTAAGTGAAAATATTTTTCTATTGGAATCTCTAAGGAAAGTCTATGAATATCTCAACTGAATCTATTATAAAGAAATCTATAAATAAAAATAAACTTAAATGTATTATCAATGAAAATTTCTTTATAAGAAAGCATCAAGTCGGCTAGACACTACATCTCTGCCACCATTCCCGATTGGAAAATCCTGGTTACACCACTGTACTTGTATAAATGTACAATATGAAATAAATATGACTGAAAAGACACCAACCTGGAGGTTTGTTCCAGCTGTACTCAAAAACGGAGGAACGTACGCAAATGCTAAAGGTTTCTGGTAGTGATAGCTGAAACATCCTGAAGTTGTATTGCCGATAACCTGAAGATTAATAACAATAAAACCATAATTATACATTGGAGCACATCAAATACATTTCTACGTATGTGCAACTTCTTATTAATTACCCTTTCTAAATTTGAGATAAAAATGTGTCTTTTTAAACATTAGTGCAACAATTGCCGATGATTTTCAAAATTATATTAGCAGTAACATAACAAACACTTCTACCATAATTATACGTTAAATATATTAAGGTTGTAACAAAAAATTATTTTAATGTTTTGTGAATATTAAAATCCACATTCGGAATAATTCGTTTCACTATGACTAACACAATGATCATTACGATCACAAAATCTTTTACACTCTTTTGTCATTCCTGACCATCGCTCTACGCTCTGAGGCACTGAGAAGTTTAGGTAAAAAAGTAGGTGACGAATCTGGACGGAATATCCAGAGAGATCTGAGTCAACGCAACACGGAAGGGCGGTGTATTATGTATTGAAGGGAAGACAGAATAATGTTAAGAAGGAGAGGCAATGTTTTTCAAAAATTGTAATGCCTGTTGTACACTGTTAGATTTTTTTATAAAACGAGTTGTTTTGCACGATCAAATCTTTCCCAAAATTATTTGGCCCGCTTCCTATAGGTGTACTGTAACATTATTGTTCAGACATTTTCTCTTGAGTTACGATTGTAACACAAATGATTTTTGAGAATATTAAAGTGAACGTACTTCTGATACTCGCCCGGAAACTTTCGAGGTACCTCGAGAGAATACATATTTAATGAATTGCTTTTCGAGGTAACTAACCTAACCTACGTCCGGTCCCAAAATGGCCCTGATCGCTGTCGATTGAGCTTCGCGGTTATCTCACCAGTTGCGTTGTTCTCGCGGGCATTAGCGTTGCTGATTGGTTGAATAGTGAATATCTGATAATTTTTTTATTTTACAACATTTTATGAAAATTTCTATTTTATAATTTTTTATGAAACTCCAAATTTTACTAAGAGAAAACTTGAATTTTATAAAATGAGAGTTTATGGAACATTTTATAAAACAATTTTACAGAAAATATCACCGTATCTAACAAGCATATAAGTATTTTGTTGACAAATGCTCCAGTAGTGCGACGCGGTTTTGAGAGATCTGATAACTTCGGAAAGATAGGACTGTCGGCATATCCGTCAGTGATGCGTTTCGATGTTCTATACTTCACGGAAACTTTGAAATATGCACAACGACAAAAGGCCAAGTTTCTGTCTGTGACTTGAGAACAGAAAAACGAAGGCACCGTTTCTTTATTTTTCGGATCCCTTAACTCTGAACAGTGATCTTTAAAAAATAATTTGCTTTCCACGTATTCCAACATACTCATTTCCGTAAATGTTTACAATTTTTATTGCGTGTCGAGTTAACTTCACAATAAATAGTGTTGTAAATATAGTTTGGACTCTTTTAGTCAATTATTTAGTCTTGTAACATTCTCTAGTCATCAGTGACTTACCGTAAAATAAAGGACAGAACGAAAGTCGGGAGGAAAATATACGGGACTGGAAGAGAAGCAGAAGTTACTCTACATTCCTTATACATTTTATTATGGGAGAAATTTGGAAATACAATTAAGAATTTCATTCTCGTAAACAACCAATTCAAGTAATACGAAAAGTTCTGAAATGTGTCGCCTCCTAAATGTGTATGTCAGAAACGCCACGCTCGCCGAAGTGTTTTAATTGAACATCAGTGAAAGCAGCATGCAAATAATTTCCTTGCGTTTCTGGTGGCGTTCGGGACGGAATTGACCCGATCCTCACAAAGGCGTGCAACGGTGCTCGGCGGGATAGCCGACCTCGCGAAGCCTAGGCGTGAAAATTTCGTGAATTGGTGTCAATACTTTAGCACATTGGACGCACGCCAAATCATCAAAATATTTCAGAAAGAGTGTGTGTCTTTAAGGCAGGAACGATCAAGAAATATTGTTCGTCATTTAGTTAGAAATCCGCAGGTGAACACTTTTTCCAGGAAAAACAAATCAACTGTATATTCACTAAAACATTTTTTACTAGCGGACCCGACAGACTTCGTCCTGTCAAAAAGATTTTGTAATTTTTTTGTCCTACATGGCAAAAAATTCTCCTGAAACAGAACCGTCCCCTGGTGAATAGAGCGTTGTGAATAAGAAATTTAATTAAATAAACATATATAAGCATTTAAAAGTAAGTAATCGCTTTTATTGTTAATCATGTGAATCATAATTATTAACAAAAAATCAGTTTTATTCATTGTAGTGCTTTGTGATGTACGATGTTCTTTGTTTGATTACCTGGCACATAGCCAAACAGATCTGATTGTTCCAACACGGAACAGGCAACATACAATTGACCATGTGAGAAACATGGGTTTCCATATTAATACCACAAACATTAATGATTGCCCCTGGGGAACTTGTTTATGGTCATAGCAAAAGCAAGCCGAACTGGAAACTGTAGTTGTTTAAAGTCAAACGGCACGTCAGTCGGAATCATTGGATGCGCGTATGAGACGTCTTCTCCTTTATACCTTTCCTTTCAGTATAGTTGCTTCTATCACGTTGTTTAGTAATTTTTTTATCGTTAACCGTGTGCCGTTGCAAAGACGTGGTTGGTTGATATTTCGCAACATTATAACTACCGATCCACTTTAATTGAAGATTGTGAGGTGGCAATCCTGCAAAATCCAGCGAGTTTAAAATTCTGGTGGATAGTTCACTACATCATCTTGGTTAGTAGCCAAATCAACTGATTTATATATCCTCGATTCGCCTGTAATATGTTCTTGAATTTTTAAATTTAATTCATTTACATCTATGTTTTGCAGCCAGTTATAGCTCGTTCGCTCAACCAATCATGGTTTCTGTAATTTTGAGAAACATCTGGAAACACCTTCTGAATAAGTTCATCTTTTGATCGAGTTAACTGACAAAAACTTTGAGGAAAGTTAAGCAGCCAGTCAACACATCTTATAGGAAATTTGCCATTACCAATGTCAATAAGTTGTTTAGAGAATATGTTTCCAGATTGGTCATTTTGCAACTCGACACGCATATTCTTGCTTAAATGAAGTACTTGACATGTTTCCACAAATTGGAGGACTTAAGACATGCATTCAGTTCATCAGCTGGTGTTGCTCGTGGAATCACTGGCAATGTTTGACAAAAAGCTCCTGCTAATAAAACCATTGCACTACCAAAATTGGTATGATTTGCTCCGTAGATCTTTTAAGAGTTCTTGCTAAAGCTTCCAAAGATTTTTATGTGCCATCGTGCATTCATCCCAAATAATTAATTTACATTGCTGCAAGACCTTTGCCATTGCAGAGGTTCTTCGAAATGTTGCATGTCGGAGTTTCATTGCTTTGCATATTTATGGCATTTTTAATGCTGAATGGGCTGTCGACCACCTTCAAGCAAAGTTGCTGCGATTCCGACGAAGCGAGTGCAAGTGCAATTTTATATTTGAGCGAATCGTTGCTAATATTAATGAAACCATAAAGGTTTTCCTGTACCACCAGGTGTATCTAAGAAGTAAATCCCTCCAGTTTCATCATTGTTACTTTCATAAGAGTATCAAATACATACTTCTGTTGTTCATTCAACAGTGGAAGATTTGTTTGAATTAATTCTTTCAAAGTGTTGAGATCATACAGTTTTTCTCGATCAACTTTTGGTTAAAAGCATCATGCATTGGACGATTGGCGCGGCCAGGACTAATTGAATTAATAGTTCGTTTGACATCATCAAGCACATCTCCTCAATTGAAATCAATGCTAACGTTGTAAATTTCTTGACTAAGTGATGATTATGATCTTAATGATTAAAAAATTGAAGATTAGTGACTCATCTTAATTTAGGTGACAGAACATAAACTAATTATGATTAACGCTATAATACAACCTTGAAAGTTGGCATAAAATTTTCCCGAACTACATTTGTTGACCCAAATGAAGTCATATTGAAAGCAATTGTTATATTGTTGGATATTTTGTCAAAAAGTGTATTGAATCTGTTCCTATTCCTGAAACTAATGAGTACAATGACTCTGGTGGTGGTTCCAATGGTATCAATTTCACTTTACCATTTGCGCAACACAATCTATTAGCTTCGTTTTTATATTCCAATGCTTACAATATGAGCAAACGAGTTCATAAAACCAATAACAAACACATTGGTAGTTACTGTAGTCAATTGACACATCGTAACTGAAAGCAGCTCGATTCAAACTTGCGCGATTATTGTTGAATGTAGAGCTCGCGCTTCACGCGTTTGTGATTATCCGAATTCTTTCACGTTCATTTCGGTTGTCACGTTCTTGTGCAGCATGATTAGATCGGTAATTAGCTTGGTTTGTAGCATTTCGGGTTCTTCTACCTAAATTACTTCGTGTAATAGGAGTGCATATCTATATTATACATTATTTTGTTAATAGTTTCGGAACGCGACATTAAATCCTCCAACGATGTATTCTGTGCTCTCAACGCACACACGCATACTGTTTTGACTGATATGATTGTATTTGAACTTTGTATAACGGTAATAAAGTGCAAATTGACTCTTTGACGTTAGGAACATACCTACATTGTTTAAACAACAATGAGTGCTTTGTACAATAGCTATAAAGCTCAAATTGACTCTACGTATTAGAAAACGTTTGTATGGGAAAAAGAAAAGGGCTGTTTTTTAGGTTTTTTCCGGCAATTATTCGAATTTTTCTCGACGTAAAAAACCATCCTTGAACTTCAACGAACATTTAAAAAAAAGAATTGGCAAAATTGGTCCAGGCGTTGTGGAGTTATGCAGCTTACCAACACATTTTGCGATTCATTTTTATATTATAGAATGATGACATAGAAGTGCTGCCATTCAGATACCGGTGCCTGTGTGCGCACACTTGAATATCTGAGGTTGGTACTTTATTTCCTTGCTTTATTATCTAAGTTTGCATTATGATTAAAATGTTTCAGAGGTGATACAGTATTTCACAATATGTTAGGCTTCTAAACTAGCAAGTATATTTATCAAAATAGAGAGAATAAACTTTTATCATGTATTAAACATCTATTATAAATCGCATGTATTAACTTTTATAGAAATAATGAATCACTTTAACTTAACCAAGATCAAATAAATTTTCAATGAATTTTTACATTATCAAACAAAATTTCAGTGTTGTTATGAACAATTTACCTATTACTTCTTCATTTGAAAATGGTAAGATAAAATAATTTGTAATTATACATTTCTGGAAAATTATTCTTAAACAAAGTATCTTCAATCAAGCAATGTGTTTTTATTAAGAGGATAAACTCACTTTTCCTGCACACCACACAGCTTCATCGCCTTTTGGATCAACATCAGGAGAATCAACAAGCAAAGGAACAAGAGTTTTTGTCAGCCCTTCCTGAAATTCTTTCTCTAATGCATTTTGGCCAATGAATGATCCCTAAAATCAAAATTATTGTTTTAAAAATTGTATAGAAAAATGCAAATGATTGCAAATGATTTTCAAAATTACTCACTTTATTTATTTTTATGAAATTATGTAGTCCTGCTTCAATTGGAGAAGTATCTTTGTTCATGTCAGCTCCCCACATGCGAAATCCTTTTTCCATTCGAAGAACTTGAAGAGCAAATGTACCAAAATCGTCAATACCTATGAAATTAGAGCTTGCATGTAACTGATGTTATATAACTTGTAGGTCAAAAGAATTTGAATGAAATGCACTTACTGTATTCTTTTCCAGTATTTAATATTTTTTCATACAACAATTTTATTTTACTTTTATTACAATAGAATTCCCAGCCAAGTTCTCCTGTATATGACAGTCTTAATGCAAGTACCTCAATTCCATCTATATGCACCTTCATCAAGAAAAATGAAAAAAGAGCATTAGAATTAATAAAAATACTTACATTCCTTCATGAAGACTATAACATGGACTTCCAAATATTCTCATGTCTAAATGACATTATAAAACAATTATTTTTAAAGTATCATAGATGACATGTTTTATTAGAAAAAAATGCAAACAACATGGACAGATTTTAAACACTTCCAAGAAAGAGAAGGAATATCAACTTCTGAATTCATTAGGGCCTTTAGAAAAAAATGTGTGTGCTCTTTAGAGGGGGAAGAGGTTGCCACAACTGTGACAGAAAGAGAGTGAGCCAGAGTTTATTAAAATGAATATTCTCATATTTTTGTGATACTGTACTTGTTATATTTTTTACATTTCAAATTAGAAATTAATGTTAAAATGAATTAAAAATATATTTAATGTTTTAATTTAAAATCTCTATGAAATTTCACCCATTTTGTAATGAAATCACATTTTTTTGGGATTTTTTTGGGATTTTGTGGGATATTTGAAATGCAACCTTATCTCAAGGAGCATTAGTATGTGTCGCAAGATGTTACAGGTGGAGAGAGGTGGTTAAAAAAACTAAATTGGGATTGTATTTCTAAATGTCTCTTTTATTAATTGTTTCAATAAATTATCTCTATTGTGAATATTTGCTTTCTTATCTGATTTTGAATAAGTATGAATATAAAAAGTTTATAATTTATTTTCTATTTCACTGATGGAATATTTGTAAACAGGAACTACATGAGTTTGTATGGTAGTGACTAAAATGAATAAATTACAGAATAAATTACCTTCTTTCCGGTAAAAAATTTGAAATTCTTCACTGATAGATTTGGACATAATTTTTCTAAGAGCTTTCCAGACTTTGGACCAGCAATACTCAAGCATCCCAACTCATCTGTTACATTACTAATTGACACATTATATCCATTTTCCTCAGCATGTTGTCTAAGCCACCTTAGAATAAAATTATTTTAAGTTTATAAAAAGAATTAATGTTCAGGGTTGCAAGTAATTGTCTACTCAAAATTTATATTATCTCCTTAATATCAAATTGTGCAACACATTTTCTTTAAGAAAATTTGTATACGAAATGTTTGTGTGAAACATGGTAGGTACTACCTAACATTTTAAATTTACTCCGCAAGCTAACATCATGTGACTATTCAAGATATGGACTTCATCATCACCAAAATATTGGGAGAGGGAGAGAGATTCAATAGATAAGTGCTCTTCAGCATGCACCATATAACAAAACTATTGGAGGGTGTATATGTCATGTTGCAAGTAATTTATGTAATTAAGTATTATTTGTAAATACAATGATTTTCCACTTGTGGATACTCATTTTACATGCTTACAAAACACTAACTTTCTGCAGGGACAAATTTTGGGGGGAGAAATCAAAAATGTTTTGGTTGAATGTGTCATATTGCAGATTTTGTAAAATGTCACAGGCTACACTCAGCTGAAGTTGCAATACAATTTTATTCGTTTTAATGATAATATGAAAATATTTTTGCTTGACAGTTTTGTGACAAGTTAAAATTAATAGTTTAAATTAATAGTGAAAAATTTCAGGGAGGGAAATTTCCCTCATTTTCCACCCCATGGATCCATGCTTGCTTTCTGTTATGTCAACTAAATAAATATCCACATTTGTCTTTTAAAACTCACGAGGCTTCTACTATGATAGAGGCCCCAAATGGCATTGATTCCTGGTGAGTAAACAATATCTTTCATTTGAACTGATTAAACACAGACCTAACAAATTCTTAAAATTCCCTGTATACCTGTCAATGAACCAATTTTTAGGTATGTCAAATCTCCCCCTCCAATTTAAATATGTTTTGGAGCAGACTAAAATGAGAGTTTGATGAAATACTGTAATAGCCTAAATAATATTTTTAGGAATTTAACTCTGAATTAGGATAACATTAAGATGAGATCTAAAAGATTTAGAATGGCTCCCAATTAAAAGTTTAATGGAGAAGTTGAACAACTTCAGGGAAAATACTTACAAGTTAAGTTGCCTCAGAAATTCATCCAAAGTCATTTTGTTCAAATTTGTGAATTGTAGATATTAATTCAATTTCTTTGATCAGTTTTTTTAAGAACCATCACCTATAGTATACTTCATTAATTAAATATTCTAAACCTAATACATGAAAAACTGTCTGAGAAAATGTATGTGAACAAAGGAAAGTTTTATCAAAAATATGCCCTGTGAGAAGCAATCTCAATAAATCGCAAAATCTCATTCTCTAGGTGTTCCAGTAACATTTTTATAAATACCTGAGGTCATGTAGTTCACTCCCACTCCCAGTAACTAGGAAATATTCATCACTGCCCAGAGATGTGACAGTTAACTCTGCATACACTTTTCCAGATGGTGTTAAACAATGTGATATGCATATTCTGTATGTTTCTTCCTTTTCAGCTTTAAAAGAAAATTAAGTATTAATTTTCATATTAGAATTTATTATATAATCTAAATTATGAAACATAAAATCAAATATAATTTCTTTAGTTTTTGTAGCAAAGTGAACAAAAATTGTACAGTAGTACACAATGAATTTTATTCCCAAAAGGTACTCAGTTTAATAGATATTATACAGTCAAAAGATTAGTAAATCATTCAATACAGCTAATAAATAATATAACAAAGAAATAATATACATTATAAGTCTTTTAAAGAAAAAACTTTTTACTTTCTAACAAACTAATATCTATGGAGAACTATATAAATAGTATGGATAATATTATGTAATGATGCAATGTCTGTTATGAAGTTTTCGCACCCAGTTTTTAACTGGTGTTGGTTCTTTTTTTTGTCAAATAAAGAATGTTTCTCAAATTCTGAAAAATCATAGTGTCCATAGTTTCTTTCTTCTTTTTAAAATATTAATCATAACTATATTTTCACATTAATAAGATTTCATGTTGTAATAGTGCCAGATGCAGTGGTTGTACTTGTAATCTACTTGTGTGTTAATGTGAAGGCCAGTGTTTCGGTGAAGGTGCTAGAGAAAGTTACTTCATTTTCCTTTAAATTTTTGCACAATTTAGAACACTGTGTACTTTTTGAATCTGGTATAAATCAGATTTTCCTTAAAACCTCTGAAGTTTTGAAAATGGCACACAAACAAATTACAAAAAGGTGAACAAGCTGGAAAATCCTTCTTGGAAGGGAGGATGATGAAGAAGAAATGTATGGAAGAGGAAAATTAAAAACAGAAAGGCTGATCATACATGGGCATAAGGAAAGGAAGAGGAGAATAAAATGAATATTAACACTAAAATACATAGCTCATGATCCTAAAAATTTTAATTAATTCTTTAAATCTTCATTAAGTAAAAATTTAATTAATGAAATATTTATGACTTTATCCCATATTTTTGTTTCATTCCTAAAATTTTCTCTTTAGTTTTGTTGTTTCTTTTTGCAACATAATTTGGCACATGAAAGAATGTTTTGTTAATAAAATTATTGTTAATTATATATTGCATTGTGCAGATCATATTGAATCTTTCCCTCCTTTCTATGATATTTAGTTTACTAAGGCTGGTGTATATAAAAACCCCAAGCAAGTAAACATGTTTCTACTCTTTGCATGAGATACAGTGTTAATCATTTAACAATGTAAATAGCTCATTCATCGAAGTTGTTTTCAACCATGATGTAGTAAAAGTAAAGCACCAATGCAAAATAATATGGCAGGATAGGGCTTTTCTTCATTTTTGTTCTCCTTTTTGTTTTTTTAGTCTGCGCTAGTGCCTAAAAGAATTGTTGACAAATTAAAGTTAAATAGTGTGTTTTTCACAGAATTTTGTGTATTTTAATATTCTGTATGAAAGTAATTTTGATAAAATTCATAGTTGTTGATATGTAAGGGAAAATTGAAAAAAATTGAGAATTTTTAGGGTTTTTCCAAGTTTTTCTGTGCATCCGACATTTCTTAAGGTGACACACCCCAAACTCAAATTCACCACCCCAAATAACACAACTGGTGAGAAAAAAACATCTGTGTATCCTTTGTTGTGAATGGCACCTGGTGACTAAACTAATAAATTACAAAGTTAAATCTGCAGCCTGGGAGCTCCCAAGCACCCATGAGCTAAGTGCTTGGTCTAAAAAGTACCTCTCTTTGAGAGTGTTTTGAGTAATTAACTTAAATAAAAAAAGTTAAAACTAAATATATTAATTAAGTATTATTTGTTCTTGAAATGCTGATTCATGACATGTTCTATGTTTTTTGTATAAAATGAATAAAAGAAGACATACCTTTAGGTACATGGTTTGCAGTGATAAAATCCAAAAATTTTGTAGAATCAGGTCCCCTTACATAAAGTTTTCCAAAAGGTGACAAATCAATGATACCTACATGGTTTCTTACAGTTTGCCATTCTCGTTGTACTGCTGAATGCCAGTTAGTCCTGTGAAAAATAAATACATTACAGTGAAATTCCAGAAAAATATTTTTTATTTATAATTTATTTTAAATTGAAAATAATAATAATAATAATAATTAAGATAAAAAACTTTTTTTAAACTGAAAATACATCTAACAGAAATATTAATGTTTCTGTTCAAAATATGGTAAACAAAATTTTTAAGTAATTTTTTAAGTGACTTTTAAGATACCATACAGTACTTGTCTACTCAGAGTAATTCTTTTATAGCATTTCATTATATTTTGGTAAATTTTTGTAGTTTCTATAGTAACTACATTTACAAAACATCGCACAATGTTTTTGAATTGTAATTTATTTTACAAAATGTAGGCATTGGTCATGTACCTCATGTCTCAGTTAATGTATTTCAATATTTTTTTATTTTATTTTATTTTATTTTTTGCCCAATATTTCTTAAACTGTACTTTATTTTGAAAAACTTCCAAAAAAGTGCCAAATAAATACTTTTTTTTTGTTATATTGGGCCCTCTATCATAGTGTTTTTTTTAAGTGTTTTTATTTTTTACATTGTTTAAAAGATTTTTAATTTCCACAAACAGTTAAATGCAATAACTTGACTTTTTGAGGTTTGAATAATAGAAAGAGCACATGGCTTTAAGACAATCAAATAAACAAAAACTTTTATAAACATATTTTTTTGATTCAAGAGTTTTGATTTGTTTGTTTCATTTGGATGCATGAACATTTCCAATAAAGCAAACATCAAATATCTTGAAAATTAAGAATGCTAGATGAAAACAATTTGATGCGACAGTAAGTACAGAAGAAATACATTTGGACTATTTCTGAATTTTTGAGTAGATGAGTATGTAACAAAATTTTCTTTTGATGATTTCAATTTCAGAAAGAAATATTCAAGACATTCCTACAAATGAACAACTGACAATTTGCTAATGTAGTAAAATATACTGTCAACAACGCACCTTTTAAAACTTGGTTGATAAAAAGGAGCCTCTTCTTTCTTTGCAAACCAAGATGGCTGTTCCCATCCACTGTGAAAAGACATTTGTCCTTTCTTTTCAAGAAGAACATCAAAGATGCCACTCCTCCTAAGTGTAGGTCGACCTGCCAGATTATTATTTTTTTGATTTATCTCTCACTTTGCAAGGATTCAGATTATTATTTTTTTGATTTATCTCTCACTTTGCAAGGATGCCACTCAATAACCACAAAATTCCAAATTTTTACTTGTGAATAAAATGTGAATAGAAGATTTAGTTGCTGGTATCAACAGGCCTGGCGGGTAATGTGGGTATGGCGGGTACCTTTTCCCATACTAAAATTGGGGTGGGAAAAATATTCCATAAACGTCAAATTTCTTGGTATTGTGTTAACTCAAAACGTATAAGCAATGAACTATGTTGCAAGATCAGCTCTACAGAATTGCATTATTTAATATTTTTACAATGAAATTATCGACTAAATTAATTTGCAAATATTGTTAAATGAGTTTTTACAAAAAAATGCAAAGGGCACTGTTTTTGATTTGCAAAAATGAACTGCTGAAGTTACATCATATAAATGTGATTACAATATATTGACAAACATGACAATTTGAAGTAAATACATTTTTTATGTTCCCTTCATATATATTTTCAGTGGGAGATGAAAGAACCCCCATGCAGGTAGATCACCCAATCAGCCTTAACACCAATCACCGGCTCTGGTTACCAATGAATCATTTTAAAAGAAAGCACATGTTAACACTATTCCAAAATGTAAAGTGAATGAGTCATCACACTTTTATTGCTATTATTACTCAAATTAATGGTAAAAGTAAATCATAGATTTCACATTCAATATCAAAATAATACATGGAAAATTAGTATTATTGATACAAAAACATCTTCTAGCAATTATCTTCAATATTATTCTCACCTACCTTTTGTTTATTTTATTCACAACAATTACATTTACCCAGCTATTTGCTTGTGTTGAAGGTAATCAACTACATTTCTATTCATATTCTATAATTATTTCAGGTGTAGGAACAAGAATTGACTTTCTGTTGTTAAATAAAAAATTAATCATAATGATATCTTCAGAATTAGAAGAGTTATGAAGTTTCAAGTCAGCGAAATAAGAGAAAAGGTAACTTTAGTTTCCCTTTTGTTACCAGTTCAAGATTCATGGCTTTATGTGAACATAAGTTCACTATTTACAAGAAAGAATTTGTTCAAAAGGATATTATGTGTTTGATGTGATGACATTAGGCCTTTACATTAGTTTTAATTGCATTTAAAAAAACTCTCATTACAATCTTAATTTTTCTTGCATTTTTTAGCAATCAGTGCCACTTGAATGGCCATGGGATGGATGTGTGCATGCATTCGTAAAAGTACAAATAAATCAAAAACTAACAAACCTAAGGGGGGAAATGTTAAACATTAAAAAGTACACATCTCAATGCATAACAATCAGAGAAAAATGAAAATCCCAATTTTTTGTAGAAAATGTTATTTTCAGGTACATAAGTTTCTTAAATAATTTCACTTTTTGCTCAAGAAGTTATGATAATAATATTTCCTACTTCTTTTTTCCATTAAATAGTCATCACTTATTAATTACCCTTCCACCTCACCTGCTGTTCTTTCTTCATGAGGATAAGGAACAGCATTGTTCATTCCATACGACTCTCTAGCCTTTGCAAATGTGTATGGCATAGTTGTCCATGTGCCATATCGACACGGATCTAATTCAATAAGCTCATATGGAGGTTCTTTTTTGAGAATCCACTCAGCTAAATAACGTCCAATGCCTCCAGCATGAATTATTCCATACCTACAGAAAGTGATATGTAAATTTTCATATTCAAAAAAGGAACACTTTATTTAAAATTCAATTATTACCCAAATCCCACTGCCAACCACATTCCTATTTCTTGAGAAGGCCCAGCCATTGGTAGTAAATCAGGAGTATATGTAATAGGACCACATACCACTGTTTTCACATTTGCAGATGCAAAGCAAGGAACTAGTTCCATAGCAATTTTTAAATGTGGATTCAAACGATCTAAATCTGATGGAAATAATTCTTTTCCAAATCCTAAAAAAATAAACACGAATCATAAAAATGTAATGCTTAGAATTATGAAGTGTATATTTCAGTGACCTTTTTTGTCAAACACTTAATTTTTGAAACTATACTAAGCATTTTAAACTATCTAAGCATTATGCCACTATTAAATTTACAACTTGACTCTAAATTTTAATGTTATTTAGTCCTAAAAACAATTTTTTTTAAATCCATTCAAAACAATAACAAGTCAAATTTTCAATTCATTTTCATAAATATTACAATTAGGTGGGAAAATTGAAAGATCTCAGCTCAAAGTTCATTTTCAGCATCACCATCGTCATAAACAAATCCTTCTTACTCTTTTATACCATGCACAGATTGTAGTTCTTCCCATATGTCAAATACAGTTTTTACTGTTCTATGAAAAAATTCTTTATTTTTTCTCTTTATTTTTTCTGAAATGTTTTATCTTTATGATATTTTTATTAATCTTCACCAATTAAATGATACATCAGTATACATTCCTTCAACTTGTATATCAAAAGGCATTTCAGGGCAACATTAGTATTTTAGTATGAGTCAGCCACTCCTTTTTTAAAATACTCCTATCATTATTTACAATGATTTGTCAGAAATTAGCTACTGTGTAAAACTTTGTCTTTTCAATTGTGTCTTCCAATTCAAATATTCTTCAACAGAGCCTATGAATTGTGCTTTTCTTTAAATGTAGCTCTTTCTGTAGTAGGCTAATTGTTGTAAATTTAGTTTCAGACATCAATGTGTTCTCATATTTGGTTCGGTATTTGTGCATTTGTATCAGTAATCTTTTTGCCATACAAGTACATTTGCCAGTTCTTTTGAGTTTTTATTGTCAATTTAGTTTGTCTATTGTTGGTGTAAATCTATTTTTTGTTTGTATGTTTTACTTCTCATTCATATTGGTACATATCAGTTAATTTAACTGTATCATTATCTTCCTGATTAATCATTTGCATGACTTTACACATAACATTTTAACTTGTGTGTCGTTTAACGAGTATAGGCCCTACATATGTAGTACAGGGAAAGTTATGTAATACTGCGGAAAATTGATTTTCAGATTTCAACAGAAAAACACGTTTTGGGGTCACCTGATACCGAAAAAGTGGTTCTTTTCAAAACATCCATCTGTCTGCAGCCTGTTCTTCTGAGCATCTGTGAACACCACTAGTGCCTAAACTATACGTAAGATTTTTTTCAAAATGGATATTCCCAGGTCGCTCTGGCTCCACTCAAGACAATGCAATTTTGAAAAACTTTGTTTAAAATTTGGGGGTACTTTACATGAAGCCTCTGGAACATTTTCTCAAAAATGGCCCTAATTTTTTTCTGTAAATTTCTTGGAAGATATAATAGAGTAAAATACACTTATAAAAGTGGCATAGGTCCAATTTGCGCTGTTAATTTTTCAATTTTGATTATTGCAAATCTTTGATTTTTTTTCCCCGTCTTCCTATAACTCTTTCAATTATGTCATGTACATTTTTTTGAAAATTTTAGGTGTTTTCAAGAAATATTGCAGACAATAATTGCAATTTTAAAAAATTACAAAACAAGACTTTTTCAAAACCGACTCTAATTTTTTTCTTTCAACATTTGGTAGGGATAGTGCTAAATTCACTCTATAAGATGACATAAATGCCATGTTGGTCTATTCCTTTTTTTAAATTTTTTAAAAAATTTTTAATAACAAAACTTTAATTTTTTTGAGTTGTCTCACACGTTATTAATATTTACATTAGCGGCAATTTGTTCACATTAATGTATTTATGAGCACTTGTGTTTCAAATAATTGTCAGGCAAACTCAACAGTTTTCTGTAAAATGAGCTTAAAATTCCGCATTTTCAGAAACATTCAACCACCTGTTTCTCAAAAACGGCTCCAAATTTTTACTTCAAACTTTTTGAATGGTTAGTGCTAATTGCACTGTTTAAGATGACATATAATTAATTTTGCTGTTTTCGTTTGTTTCTTTCAGGAATTACTCATATGTAATATTTTTTGTTTAAATATCTCTGATGCCTTTAAAATGCGTATATCCAGCAATTTGCAAAGACTATTGCAGTTGTTGCAGGAAGTGCTTGAAATGACTTCAAATGAGTTCTCTGTTGCTCAATAGTTTTCTGTGAAAAGAGGTTCAAATTTCAAATTTGCAGTAGCACTTAAGGCTTAAAATTTTCTTAAAAACAGCTCCAAATTTTTCAAGGATAATTGTCATTTAGGACGAACTTTTACCATTCTTTAATATTCTTAAAATAATATTTCCATTCTACTATTAGGAAACCAAACATTTTTTTAAAAAACTTAAATGTTGGCATCTGATAAGGGTATGGGACAAGTCCGAATAGCTAGCTGAGATCAAAGGAAATAGAAAACTAGTACTAGGAAGTCTGTACTATTCCCTAGCACCACTAGTTAGGTTAAACTCTGGTACCAAAATTATTTTTTATCTCTCTCCCAAGAGTCTCCATGAATCTCTCAATGCTATCTACTTTAATATTCCTTTTATATAAATGTTCTTCTTCTTTTTAACTTTGCCTTGCAAATTATTGGAGTGTGTTGCCTCTACAATATCAGTACTATTGTTAAAGAAAACTTCATCTTATATTTAATTATTCTATAATCTAAAAGAGACATAAGAAACCTGAGTATCAGAGACAATAAGTATATGTGTGTAATCTCCATACCTGGAGGAACACCTTTGGTTGCCCAGTCTTCACATAATTTCATTGACTCTTGTGATTCATATGGTCCAACAAGTAAACAATTCTCACGTTCTTGGCGGAGATAAAAAGAACCATCTAAATGACGAAGAACAGGGATTTCCCTTTCTAAATTATTTACATCATCTATTGGTGTGGTAATTAAATACTGATGCTCTACAGGAACAAGTGGTAAATCAAGTCCTGCAAGTTGTCCCACCTCACGTGCCCAAAAACCTAATGCAAATAAAGAAAAGCTTCATCAAGTAGTATCAATATTTTTGAAGAAATAGTTAAATTACTTAATACATAACTGAAAGTACCTGCAGCATTTACAACATTTTTTGCTTTTAGGACATGTTCTGAATTTATTTGAACTTCCCAGAGACCCTCAGAATTCCTTTGAATGTTTGAAACTGAGCATTTCTGATAAATACTGGCTCCATATTTTCTTGCTCCTATTGCCAATGCTTGCGTTAATGAATATGGGTCAATATGTCCATCATTAGGATTATAAAGACCTCCCAATATCTAATGAAACATCAAATAATCAAACATCATCAGACGATTTCTTGAGAGAATAGTGAAATAGGAAAATGAGTCAATATAAAATGCAATAGTTTGACAGTGAATAAATTATAAGATAAAAAATGTACTAATGTGCTTACCCCATCCATATTTAGAATTGGACATAAGCTCTTTATGGTATCTGGAGAAATAATCATTTGTGGAGCATCTTTATGAAGCTGACGAGACATCTGGTACCTTCCAGAAAATTCACTTGATAAATAAACACAAATTTATGCTCTAAGAAATGATAAATGAAAAGCCCATACCTGAACTCATCCATTCGCACTGGTGATGTAGCCAGACGGATGCTTCCAGGTTGATGAAATCCAACATTTTGCCCAGTTTCATTTTCCAATTGTGTATATAAATTAATGCTGCAGGGAAAAAAAATAACTATAATTATAACAGAAAACAAAGATAATAATTTTTATTTTCATGCCAAAAAATGCAACAAAAAATATATTGAATAAGCACAAAGATGCCAAAAAATATGATTGACAAGCATTATGCATGTCATTACCATAAGTCACAATTCTAAATTTCATTAATTAATATGTATTTAAAATAATATAATATATTACTTATTAGATAGAAAGAAAATTATTTACACAGTTGTTACTTTAGTTGAAAACACTTTTTTAACTTGTTGGCAGAACATTCTGTAAGATGTTAAATAGGTACCTGTAATAATGCAACTGCTTCATATTTGGGGTGGGATGATAGAGAGCTGTGAGTCCAGCAGCATGCCATGTTGATCCAGCAGTCAATTCAGTTTTTTCCAATAAAACTACTCCTTTCTGACCCTGAACATTAAATACAACGAAAATCAAATAAAAATTCAGTTTGTTTTCAAATTGAAGAATAAGAGATGAGCAAAGATTGCAAAACTTAAATGAAGATATAAATAGCCTTTGATATTATCTCCATACAATTTAATAAACCCTACAGTGGCCTTTAATAGTAATAAATTTTCAGTTCAACTTATATAAATACAAACAAAAAATTACCAATTTTGCCAGATGGTATGCTATACTGCAGCCTATTGCACCTCCTCCTATTATGACTGTTTCAGCAAGATTGGGCAATGACTTGGGGACTTGGGATACTTCAAAGGTACTGAAAAAAATAAAAATGAATTTCTTTACATACTTATTTGCTCTTTAAGTAACATATCTTAGAGTTTTTTCATATTTTATCTATAAAGTTCTGCAACACATAAGTGGATTCAAAATCCAACTCTGCATTATCACTTTTTAGCATTGATTAATATTTAATATATTTCTTCTCAGGGTTATTTGCAATTATTAACAAATTTATTTTGCATGAAAACCCCAGAGAATCCGCAAAATTCTTTTAGCTTTTGAGGATTTTTTTATTGACAATGTGATGAGATCTAAGTTGTTTAATTTCAAAATTACAATAATAAAAATAATTTTAATGCTGAAATTTAGCTATGAAGTCGTCAGCCTTTAAGAACGTACTTTTTAACGATGATTTCCAGAAAGAAAATAGAAGAAGAAAGAAAATGTATATGATTTTTGGGAAGTTTTACTCAGCACGTAATTCGTCCGACTGGACTTCATTTTCTATTTCTAGCCATTCATTTCAATTCAAATAAGTTCCCTTCGAAGCGGGATCTCGAACTTTTCTCTAATGTATGAAATTTCGAAGACCTTCACCTTGATGCCGATCGTAAACCGGCCCCGATTCTGTGCAGACCTCGCATTCTGCTCTTCCGCCAGGGACCTCCCGCGAGAAGTGCCGTGCCTCCGCGGGCGCCGGAGACGAGTCTTCTAGCCTCTCACGCTCGCACTTGTTCGCACTGCACGCGGCGCGACTAAGCTAGCGAGTGGAGCGGGAAGGGGAACAGACGCGTGACGTCAAGGCAACCACTGATACTAGAATTATGGCTGCAGAAAAACTCCCGCGGTAATTTTACTAAATTTCAAACCGACAAAAGTTAATTGTTATTTTACAAAAGAAGAAAAGTGCTATTAATTGCGGTTGAAAACAATGAGGGAAATGTTTTCAAGTCTCTGTTATTGTTTTGCTCCGAAACTAGGTTAATGACCTTCACCTCGCCTTTTATCTCGGGCGCGTTGAATTCAATTCTTACCCAACAACTTCCACCACGAGAATAAACTTTTCGTTCATCTTCCAGGAGCTGTTATTTAGATGACTGGAGAGTATGCGATATGAAATATTATTGAAGGCCTATATTTCAACCTCATTCATTAGTGTCGCCTCTAGACATGTCAATATCACGAAAACATCTACAAGATTTGGCCATTAAGTAATGCCTACCAATTTATGCACTTCCAGAAAGCTTAGTAGGTAACACACAAAGAATACTATGTACAAAGAAAAGGAATAATTTTACATTTTGGCGTACTTTTACGTGGCCACGAAGTCTCTCAGCACATATCTTCCATTGTGACCCATTTGAAAATATTATCTACATAAAAGTTCTTCTTTTGTAGGAATAACCATCTTGATCTGACAACCGATTTGAACGCAGCACCGAAGTGAAATATTTGCTGACCAAACATTTATTTATTGGAACAAAAATATGATTGTCGCATGGTACCAATGGCTGAAGTTGTTCCAACACTGAAATTCTGGAGTTGCCAGGAGGACAAGGCATGTCATCATTCATGTGGGTGTCAGAGAGATTCTATGGCGCCCGCCAAGCACTCTCTGAGAATTCAGTCGAATCGCCTCGCCAATGACTGTGATACGTGTTCGCTCGGTGTTACTAAGGGACGTCTGGCAGGTAGTTATCCGCTAGAATCGCACAGCTCTCGGCTAAGAATTTGCACCACCTAGAGATGTGGCCGAGAAATGTATTATCTTCCGCATATACGTTCAGTATCTTCCTGTGAATCTCATTCGGCTCGTTGACTGATTGATCAGTGATTCCGGGGGCGTAAACTGTGGGGGGGGGCGCATTGGTCCCGAAAGTGTAGTATATGTTTTATCGCGGGATGTGGTGGTGACCTTTCCCTCGGATACCGAGATCAGGCGCCGACCTTCCCATCGGCTTGCGGGGGTTTTCCTTAACCAATTATCTCCCATCAGCGGGGCACCGCTGAAGCTAGAACAAGCTCTAATATCCTGACATGTGTGGAAGTTTAGTGCATGTGTGTGTGTGTAAGTAAAGGGTTAGGATTGGACAAGAAAGAGGAAGGAAAGATCGAGAGCTGTTCGTGGCCCGTTTGTTAAGGTACTGCTCGGGCATTCGTCTGGTGTTGATCGGAGAAACCAAGTAGAACTACCAATCAGAGTAGCCGCCCGCTAGAATTCTCCTCCAGACAGCGGCTGAATTCGACTTAGCTATGCAGCTAATGTGAAAAATCCTGCCACCGTCGGGGCTTCCCGCTCAGAGGCACTGCAATTACATCACCTGATGCTCCTTAAGACGGTAATTACATTCGGTTTGGTTCCCCCCCCCCCCAAAAAAAAGAACGAATCCACTCGTCACTCGTAAACGACTTTATCACACGCGCATCATTGCTTAGTTGTCCCTTCCTGTTCCGCTGAAAATACTCTTAACCAAAAAAACTTCCAACTATGCCGTGGGCATGAATATACTTTCTGAGCAAGTTTCACGACACAGATCACAATATCACCGAGAGAAAAAATTGTTTTGCTTTCCTTATTGATCTGCCCTCTAATCATTATTAGCAAGGGTCATTTTTTTACACGTACAAATCTTATATTCTGTAAATTAATCTAATACACAGTCATCGGTGCCCCTCGCGTGTTTCATGGACAGCATGCTAGCTCTCCGTGGTGCGAAATTGGGTTTGATTCCCTACCAGACCAAAACACACACACACACACACACACACACACACACACCCACCAACACCACAAAAAAAATGAAACCAGGATATATCAAGAATAGCCAAATGTGATATTCCTACATCAGATTTAGTACATGACAGAAGAGAGCATCACACAATCTACGAGATTGCTTTGCTCTTCTTGCCCTGTCCCCCTCCCATCACCTTGTCTAATGATGGCACGGTTCTTGGTTTATTCTTGGAGGTACAAGTGGTGGTTTCTCATGTGAAGGAAGGGAGAGTAGTCCTCCTCGGATATATTTTACTCATACCATAAATGGCATTACCAAATACAGTACTTGATTTTATTTTACAGGAAAATGTAAAATGTACTTTAAGTTGATAACTGAAAAGAATTTTTCATCGAGTTTTAAACTATGCGCGACTTTAAGCGACGCAAAAAACTATCGAAATCGCTCTTAGGATGAACTCTTAGATTTTTCCTCCTAATCGCTCCTTTCTCACAGCGCTCCTGCGGTCAGAAGATAAAACAATTTAATGGAGCCTTACGAGCAGAAAGGAGGAATTCCTCCTCTGATTGAACATTCATCTAGCGACATGTTTCTCTAGAACATCAAGGCGTCACGGGGCGATGCGACGGAATGAGTCAAGGGCAGAGGTTGGCGCTCGGTGAAATCACAGTATACGTATTATACAGTAGCGCAGCTCAGCCCGTTTTTGGATAGTTAGGGATGCGCGTGTATACAGCTAGCTACGCTGATGAAGACAAACTAAAACTACAGAGAGCAGCAACTGAAGAAAACTGTTTTGTTTGTGAAATTGCGTTTATTAAGATAGTAAAAATGTAAAAAATAGTTCATATTGTTTCTTGACCTCGTGTTTTATATTCCTAGAATTTTCAGGGAAATTTACGTAAAATTACGTAGAACCAACGTTTTAACCTTGCATTAGACATGTATCGGAACATATCCGATATGCACCAACTGAATTCCTCTACATTTCAGTTTTCACATTAATAACAATGCGTGTGTCGAAAGAGGCGTATTGTTCTGCAATTAAATGTAGCAATAATATAGGAAAGATCCCCTAGATCCCCTTGATGTTTTTAAAAATTTTATTTTTCCAAAACACCTGGAAAGGAAAAACGGAAAGTTGTTCAATAGCACAACAGAAATGTTATTTCCTAGATACCCGTATTAACTCCTTAGTATACTTACATTTCTAGATATTAGCATGAAAAGTGAAGAAATACTTGTTCCTCATGATTCCTTTATTCCCCTATTTCATTTTTTCCCTTATTCCCCTATTTCATTTTTCCCTTAAATTTGTTTAAAACCTCTGTTTAACAAGTTGTTTTAGTTACATGCATACAAATTTAAAACACAAAAAATATTTACACAGATGACGCAGTGTTCCTCTCTCGCCGCGAGGATCGCTAGAATCCCAACATGTCGTCGTAGGGCAATTAGCACCGAGCTCCCCTATTGTATAAAGCGTGTACTGTGGTCTTATCTTACATCGTGAGTTGGTGGAAGCTCGGATTAAGTGTACCCCGCACCGAGAGTTCTCGCTTATCCCGTCGTATTTCGATGCGTGTAATTTTATCTATTGTATATTTCAGTTGACGTAGTTTGTGCTATTGGCGTCCTTCCTCCACGTAAGAAATATGAACGAGCCGCCACTGTATGGGAATTATCAGAAGTAAACACGGAAAAAGGGCTCCTGCAGCCGGCTCCTAAATTCTCATTCACGCCGCGAACGGCTTCGATCCTGGCATTGACCTACCACGATGAGGCTGGAGCTCAGAACCCCTAATCAATGAAGCTTCAGCTACAAACTCGCAAATACTATGTGTGTGATGCCAGTTACTCTACACTCCAAAAGAGTGTTCTCGGGCCATACAATAGAGGTCAACACACTTGCGGGTTCATTGGATTGATCTTTCTTTCCACCCCCTTTTCTCCATCTTTACAGTCTAGGAATGCATTAGTCCATTATCTTGCACACGCCGGTGCGTAAAAATATTAAAAACATAGAAACATGTTTTTTTAATAAAAAGCCATAAAACACCTTATGTGTTAATACATATTATCATTCAATTTTTATCGGGAGAAATTAGAAAAAAAACAAATACTTTTTTATTAAATTATGACCATATTATTGGTAACGTGGGCTATTCAGAAAAAGATTACAGAAACATCAGAAATGAAATATCGTCAATCATTAAAAAGATGCACTCTTTTAGGTTAGATTAGGACTTGCCAAAAAGGCAAGAATTACTGAAAATAATAGAAATTACAACCACTTACAAGAGAAGATGAAAGGAACTTTTAATGGTTGTGACGTCAGGAAGAATCCCCTAGCAGAATCTGAATTACGGACAATCCAGAAGATGTAATACTGGTCGACTGAAGACAAGATCAGGCGAACATTGCTCATCCTAAAAAGGAAGTAGAAGAAAGAAAGTTGGTAACAAAGAATGCAAGAAAGGAGAGGAGGAGGAATTGGAAATGACATATTGTAATTTCGCGGAAAATCCAAGTATAAGTACCTCTTGGACAACTTCCCTTATGGCTAAGGGCGTGCCCAACGAGGAGGTGGAGTTACAGTACTTCACTCCCAGAAGTAGATGTCATATATTCATGTATTTTCCCTAATTTTCTATAGTAACAAAATTCAGATAATATATAAATTGAATCCGATATAGATAATTACAAATCAGGAAATAGGTTGAAAATAAATAAATAAATGAAAACTTATTTTTAAAACAACATCAAGTCGGCTCAACCCTAGACCTAAAGCTCGCTCCTCCTACAACCCTTGGCTGCGCCCTTGACCAAGATCAAGAAGAAGAAGAAGAAGAAATGAAGATGATGAAAGTGATGGAGATGCTGAAAATTATGATGATGATGATGATGATGATGAAGAAGAAGAAGAAGAAGGTGAAGATGATGAAGTTGAAGAAGATGAAGATAGGGATAATGGAGTTCAAGAAGAATAAAAAACAGACGCGCAAAAACGCGGCGAACATAACCAGCATTGAAAGCCTGACAGCAAACATAGAGAGTAGTGTCTC